GGTTGCCCTCGGTGTGCAAGCCTCCTGACACAGGAACTTATTCCCCCCCCCCCCCCCAACATTGATAAGTATTCTGGTTTTATAAGTTTTTAACAGTATTTTGTTGTGTATAATTATGTCTGGGACACTCTGGCCCACCACGTGTCAACGTTAGGAAATAAAATGATGCGGATATACCACATGACCGCATGATCAACCAATAGTTACATGAACTAAACGCTCCTCGAAATTAAAGCTGCTAACATAATTGCGCAAATTTTGCATAGCGTTTTTAGAATAACCAACTAGAAATAACGGAAGGAAATATCGCTCAATTCTGTTGTTTGTGCTTCAAAAGGTTTCGAAAGCAATTTCACGTATTGCGCAACTGGCGATTCTTGATTCGCGACAAGTGCTTAACTTTTCCTGATTTTGCCAGATTGTTGGTTAGCACTGGAAACAGGCTTCGTAACTTATGTGGCTACTGTACCAACTCGGTTTTTAGTCTCTTGGGAAATACAAATTTGTCGCACTTCATTACATAGTCAAAAATCCTGACCACTGGGAAGGCATAAATAACTACAAAGCCTGTTACTGAAATTTACTTATGTTAATTGGACAGACTTCAGATCATGAAACTATTACATTATGCATTCGAATAACCAGGTTACTAACAAGTATTTGCATTTGATCTCTAGTGGTGATAAAATAAATTTGTTAGTGAATGATATGTTTGACCAGTGGGCAGACGTCTACCTTGAGTGTCAGCCTGGGGAATTTGCAAGCAAAATATGAGTATTCAAAAACGAGAGTGCAACAGGCAATCAGAGCAGAATGTAGTTAAAGAATGTAGTTATTATGGTTCCGTTTGCTGAACGATATTCTTAAAGTCGAGTCGTGTTAAGAGGGGTACCTTATCTAGGCCCTATTATGATGACAGCCTTTGAAAAGCGTCCATTGGTTTTCTAGAGCGTTTCTTTTGCAGAATCTACCAAAGTTTGGTTCATATCTCTGATTGCCTCTCGGAGAGAATCTACTCGAAGCGGTGGGAAGTTGACCAATAAACTGAGGCACACATATATGCATTCACACGCACAGCAATGCCATAGGTAACTTATTGAGATTTCAAAATTTGGGAGCCTGTCTCTTGAATAGCAAATGCTACCATCAAATGAATAACATAATAATAAACGTTTATTTAGCTCTTAGGTTCACATTCGTTGAAAAATAATTAGAGATGATGGAATTCGTATTAATAAAACGGACATTGAATGGTTAAAGAAAATGGGTGGGCATAATTTTAGAAAATTGACATTTTTAAGTCTTAATTATTTCAAAAAACCAACATCTACTGGTCACACCTACCTACTGCTTATGGGCCTCATCCGAAGTTCAGTAGTGGCTGTGTGCGTAAACAATTACATTTTACAATGTGGAAATATTTTTTTTCGTTTACTATTTACATCATGAAAGTGACAGTCACGAATATAACACTTTTTCAGCAAGCGACTTGAGGGCCTGATAAAGGTACTACGTTGCCCAATTAAATCATCATTAACGAAAAAAGAAAAGGTGACTAATTTAGCTACTTTTTATTAGTTACTACGAAGGTAAGCTGAATACAAGTGATCGCGTGGTGTTAGCAAATTGATCCTCTTTGTTGATCATCCAGGAATCAGACATAGGGTGAATGGCTTGAGAATGATAGGCCCCTAAGCAGATGTCTCATTATTACCAGTTACGAGGTAACACATATAACTTCTTAAAATGACCGTTAATTTGTTATTTAAAACCATCTCAAAACGCAAGAGACCAACCTTATCCGCAAAGGATACATTATCGAACAGCACTCTGTGCTGATTGCGACGTGGAAACAATTGGTATTCTGACTCACTCGAAATGCAAGTCGAACAGTGGTAGCTAAAGCGAGCTCGTCCTGACTCGGCGGCTGGCCCAGCATCGACTTGCTTCTGCAGACAGCCCTCTGTGTGGGTAGCAAGAGAAAGGGTAGTGATTGATCGTGGTCCAAAGGCACATTGTCGCCCGCCAGTTGATAGAAGGGCCGCACTTCAGGATCGGTTACTTGCAGCACCCTCTCGCCAAAGAAGCTCGCCACCGCACCACCACCACCCAATGGAAACGGCGTCTGTGACGAGGCGTTTTTCTTGAATTCTTCGGTTAGCCAATTTTCTGGTGGGTCAATGGTCAAAAGAAGTTGAGCGGGGATCGAACGCTGTTGGCAGGAAATTCTAAATACGTAAATTCATGTGACAGGGATATGCTTATTTTCCATAAATCCAAAAGCATGAAGTTGACAAATTCCTGTGATATATTGGAAAGGCAAGAGAAGCATGGCCACAGAAGAACTTCAATGCTAAATTAATAAAAACTGACTGAATAGTTAATAACCTAGAATGTTTACATTTAGGGAGATGACAAGAAAGTATTTTCTCGGTTCGTGTGCAGATCAGTTATCGAGGAAAAGAAAACTAATATCCGTTTCGCCTAAGAAAAAATTGCGCATTTCGACATCTAGAGTCTGTGATTAAGAAGCTACACTAATTTTGTTTGCTTACAAGTAAAACGTAATAACAGATAGTTTGGATGCAATGATACTCGACCTCTGAGAAATCGAGCATAGGTTTTTATTGCCAAGTTAAATTTCACCCCTCGAGCGATGACTTTACGCTGGTCGACCATAAAATGTGTAGCCTGCAACATTCCTGACCTATTTGGTGTTATTGAGAACGAGACTACAAAATCTCTTTGAGAATCTTTAGTGAGAAACTAGTTTACACGGGTGCAAAACCTAGCGGAAGGCATTGTCTTGTGAGATTACTAGGTGCATTTTTGGAGTCCTCGCGCATCCGCGCACACAAGTCACCCCAAATAAACAAAGCCAATCGAGCAGATGGCAAGGAGCAGAGCGTGGGAGTTGTTAGTTTGGGCAATGTTCCCTTTCTGAAACTGAGGCTTGTGGAACACGGAATGCAGAACAGACAACCTTCCAAACAGTCTTGTCTGGTTTTACGGCACACATTAAGTGAGCTGGTCCCAATGTCACTTTCCTCTGAAAGGACGAGATTAAGGATATAGATGCCAAATTTTGAGGGCCTCATAACATGTATAAATGTTGAGCTGGACAGGAACTAGTATTAATATACTACAACGGAAAGATTGACCAAATTAGTGGTATATCAGATGCGTAACTTGGAGTTTAATTGATTTACAGCAACAAAGAGTTGTAAACTGAATTTAAGCGTATTTCTTAAGCCATTCAAGAAAAATGAGTCTGCACATATTCTTTAGGTCAAGGTGCGCTGGAACATTTCGCAATTATTGTCACATTGCTAACATCCTGAGGCGTCTTGTTTTGTACCCGATTTGTGTCTCTTAAACTGATTTACGATCTAAACAAAATCGTATGGACATCTTTTCAATCCAAACATTTGCTGATCGTGGCCACGTTTAATGAATGGCCAACCACTCCTTTCATGTCTTCTCGCTGTTGTCGGAAGGAAACCCATGTAGGTTCACATTTGAACCCATAAGGCATTTTACGCATCTTTGAATTTTGAGTGTGTACTGCTGGAGTGTAGCAAATTTTAAAAAAAATGATTTTGTGTAGAAGAAACCCTCCATAATGCTTTAGCCTGTGATCTCTGTGTGGAGGTAACAGTGAGTCATTATGGTGCAGAGAACATTCAAAATCTGATTCACCCTCGATGTGCACTAACGAGCAGGTCACCCTCCATAAAATGTAATGTAAACAAATGCCTCTGAGGTGGCAGTAAAACTCTTTCACGTTAGGATCGATTTAGCCAAGATTTAAACATAATAACCTGAATTAGGTAGAACACAAAATCACCATTCTATTTCCAGCCCCTTTTAAGCATTTGCAGAACTACGGTAAATATGTGCTTTAAATTGTGTTGTACCTACGTGACCCTACATGCTGCACACAACATGGAACAAAACGTCTTTGAAGAATTTTTAAGAAAAAAAGGCATACAAATGGAACTTTTAGCCGCATCTTTACTAACATTTAATATTCAGCATCAATTGCCTGTGGTAATGCACATCTGACTGCTTTAACTACTCTAACCCAAGCCCCGGCAAAGCACTTTCTGCAAGAAATCACAGCTATCATGTTTTGTTTTTGCAGCACTTTTCAAATAAGCACAATGCCACAATGCTTCAATCAACATTTACCCCACAGTAACATGTTGTATATCAAAAATATCATGATATTTATATTCACACTAACCAAAAGCTATCAATGATCCCTGTGCGTAAATTGTGCTGAGAAAACCAATTAGCGTAAGCCTTCCTGTAATACAATAGCACAATCCTAGAGATGTCAGCATGACTCAATTATTCCCATCGAATGCAATGTTTTAATTTTGTTTTCAATCTGGTTGTCGCTTGACGCCAAGCGGACCTCACGCCAAAGTCCCGACACCGTGGGGTGGGGATCGTGTGAGTCAAGCGGGGTGTGGGGGGTGGCAAATCTACCCACCCAAGCCACGTGCGGGGATGGTGTGGGAAGTGGGGGGCACCGCTCCCAGAAGTGAGTCGTACCACGTGTCAATCACCGACTGTGAATGGTATAATTAAAGTGGAAGCAGGGAATTTTTAGATTTGATCTCATTTTGGAAGCCCAAAAATTGACCAGCATTAAAATGATATACCTTGATTAAACTCGCGTGGTCAATTTTAATTCCATCTGTTCAAATGCCTCTCACGCACCACTGTGCTTTCATCGACTATTTCATCGTTTTTATGACGAATCACCTGCGTCAATTAACACCAAAACATTTTTGCTATTACATTTTGGGCTTCACTGTTTTAGTCCTATGTTCTATCAACATCATCCAATTAGAGTAGTACGACTTTGTCACAGTAAGTTTCTCAAAATTCACTCTTTAAGTTGCTTCGCAGATTAAGCACGGAAGTTTTCAGAAGCTTACTTTTATACCAATACACTATGGAAATACAATAACCACACGCATTTCAATCTTGCGCTTGACAACGCTGACTAATGACTATTGAACAAAATTACCGTAATTACTACCGTGTCTTGATTAACATTTTTGGGCAATTGCTCCATTTGCACAAAATTAGGTGATATTTTCGTGATTTAATAAATTTATAACGATTAAATCACGTGCACGGACATCCAAATTCAGCATTGACATATTTTGTAATGCCTAAAGTAATAGAAAAGCCACGGGTTAAGCGGGAATTTATGAACTTAAGGTGTGGTACTACGACAAATATCACTAACAGACACAATGGCCAATTAAGAGTTGTTTTTTTTCAATTAAACGATAGATGGGCATCAATGTCTCCCGAATTCGCATTAGTTTAGGGAGATTATGGCCTCTATTGTCGCCAGAGCAAGACTTACGGGTCAACATTGTAGAAGGTCATGATGACTTTTACATTCATGCAGTGGACTTTAGGCGCCCAGTATCCGGGCATGATCTGTGTATCCCAGGTGCAGTCCTCCAGGCTGTCCAGCATCCCCTTGAAGTGAGTGGACCCATCCTCCAGAACCACGAGAGCCTCGCCTCTGTTAAAAGTAGAATTAAAAACGCGAAATGAAAAAACTTCGGCACCAGCGACCACCTTGTAGTGATCTTTCGACAGTTCACAATGGTGTCGATTAACAGTGCCTGACCTAATACAACTACGTGCATCCTTTTCATGTGTTTACCAAAACAGCACTGGTTTCCGTAAACTGGCATGGAAGGATTTGAGCGTTGGAAAGCACTCGGTTTGCCTCACAACCCGCATATGTCGAGTAGGATAACATTAAAATAGGCCTTATTTTGTGGTCCATGTATGAATGTATTGGGTAATTGCAATGGTTCGTGTCCAATTTGAAACCGAAATAATTTAACGCATTTTCATGAAAAATTGTGTTTATTATTCATCAGTGTACTCTTTAATAGTTTCAATAACTGCCTCCCAAGGTTTTACATGTCTTTGAATTCCTTTGAAGACACTACGTGGCTTCTCGTCAAAGATAGTCATTAGGAAATTTGCGAGATCTTTCACAGAATCACATATTGCGTTATTTGGGTTGCTTTGCGGGGAACGAGACAGATGAAGATCTGTAGGGTCAAGGGTGGGCGCCAGAGGTTTTCCGTTTAAACTCCCGTGGTTTCGTGGCCTCTCGGATGACACGTGATCCCCGCATTGCCGTGATGACAGACGATGCCGTTTCGCACGTTTTGATCCAAGTTCGGCATTGAATTGGGTGAGTTATTCATTCTCCTTCTGCGCAGTTGTTGGTTTGCCACGTGGAGGAAGCTCATAAAAAATTATGCCTCGGCAACCCCACCAAACACATCATATCAATTTCATTCGACGCAATTCATATTCTGCCATAGATTATACTCTTTAAATTCCATGGAATTAGCTTCTTTTTACTTCCGACATTGTTGTACAAAACCCATTCTCATCTCCGATAATAACCTAACAAAATCAGCTTCGTTTTGTTGACGCTGTGGAAATTCTATCCAGTTTGTTCCTTTCTGTCAAAATGTGCGCAACCCATTTATCCAGTTGCGAAGTGCATCTACGTTGCTTTAAATAGCAAAACGCTGTCGAACTGTCAACATTAAGTCTCCCAGTTATTTCCCTAGACCTAATTCATGGATTTATGTTTAGTAAATCATATATAGAGTTTTGTCAATACCCGAAGGCCATTCACAACAAAGTTTATTGTTTCGGTTGAAGCCATCGTGTTAAAATTCATCGAACAGCTTTGTAAGGGCCCTAATAGTAAGAGGACAGCCCTCATTGACATCTAACACGCACTCTCTCTCTCTCTTGCCCTTTTATTTATTGATTTTTTAGTAGCAATCCTTTGTATAAATTACTTCAAACTATTCTGAAGTTGTGTCGATTCACGATTAAGCTTGATAACTGATAGTTAATAATATGATTGTTGAATTTAGGCCTTTCCAGTTAAAAGTTCATGCTTTGGTCAATTTCGATGAGCCTTTACAAATACTCAATTAATTCCTAGAAGCTGGGTATGGGCATTCTTACGCAAATGGCAAACGATTTTGAAAATTAAATTTTGTTTCGATAGTAAGCCCGGCCATCAGAAGCGCGTTTTGAGTCTAGTCAGTGGCCTTCAATGGGGTACCGACATTAATAATGAGCTCAACTGTGCATCAGGTGAATTAATGTAAATTCACTTGATTGCGCACGGGTCTCTATAGCGGACGAGTTGAAGCAATGAAATTGCCTGCGTTGATATACATTAGTATTTATACGGGGTTTTTGGCAAAGCACGCACTTAATCACTGGCCGAGTCCGAAAAACGGCGATTTTGTCCGAGTTGGGAGCTCCCACAGCCAAATCAGGGTAGCCATTGTCGTCCAAATCCAATCCACCCAGTCCAAGAGAAAAACCGAGCCCTTGGAGCGATCCAGGGAGCTCAGATGCATTGATAAGCTGATGCAAAGTGAAGAAAATTTGCGTAAATTAACCTCCATCCACAAAGATACTGCATGGGTTTTATGAGGCAACCAACAACAGCCATGAATTTATATGACCTGCTGCGTCGCTGGTAATTTTAGTTAGTAAACGGGCGGCATTTTGTCTTTCCATGCACCTCTAAGATTGCACAAGTGAAAAATCCACTAAGAACAAAACGCTAAACGTCTGCACTATCTCGACATTTGGGACATAGACCCTGCGTTGGAACTAGCTTTGGCGATTCAAAAATTTCATCGAAAATGAACGTCCTCATTTTGCCGCGAGAGTTTAATGAAGTGGTTAATGTCAGTTTCTAACCTAATCCGTTCGAGCTATGATGATAGTCATAGTGCTGAGGCGTCATGAGTTTACTGGCCGCCCCCGCCTGCAAAAGCACGATGTTTTACGACTCCACGTGAGGTCAGTCAGTTCCAGGGCTCAATAAAGTAAAATTTTCCCGTAACACTGGTAGTTTGTTTTAAAAAGTCCGACGAGTTGGTTTGCAAGGCGGATTACTTGTCGTGAAACCGAGGTGCCTGAAAGCGACACCGATTTCAGACAGCTTCACCTGGTGAGACACTCGAATGGAGTTATTGAAGAAAAGCCTTGCTGGTTGCTAATTCGAAATTTTGGTGCACGAGGCCCACATTATGAGGATTCGCTCTGCATTGCGCACACTACATAGATACATGAGTCGATACTAATATTAAGACGACTTCATCCATTCCAGTAGAATGCAGGATTGGCCAAAACGCCGTATAATGCGCCCCCCAATCGTAACAGCCTGAAGTAAAACTTAATTCCTCAAATTGTTGACTGATCGGCCTTGTGCTTGCATGGGCACGAAATGTGGAGAAAATCTCGATTTCCTTTTGCAAGTAAAATTAGAATCTGCATTACTTTCTAGTGAATTAGACAACAGTCAGGGACTTCTGTGTAGTGTGGAGTACGGGAAACATCGAGCCCATCTTTGAATTTCTTCTGTGGAGAGGGCATGTTACGATCGCTCCCGTCAACAAATAAGCATACTTCGCCAGTAATTTTATACTTACTCGAGCTGCTTTTCTTAATATCAGTGGCATTGGCCATATTGCGCACGCATAAGCAAAACAACAGCAATTCGCGCTAAAAAAAATTATCGGTTGATGCTCTCAAAGCAGTATATGACAGCAGGATCGTGTGAATTCAGACGTACAGGTCTCTTTAGTATCTCGGGTTCCACAAATGAATGATGTGTTGTCATTGTAATAGTAGTTACTTTCAAACATCTGATTTATGTCAGATCCATTTAGTAAACTTGGTGTGTGTTGTATTATTGTGGTTACTTCATATTATATCTTTCAGTTTGCGTGCCAAGATTCAGCTTCCCATCTGGAACTTCCGACGTTTTAGATCTGATTACAAAACGAACGTTTTAACGGAAATACGTTGATAGTACTATTAACAAATTAGCCTTGGGATGACTAAGTGAATGGCCCCGTTCCTTGTGGATGGCCTACTGATAGCAGCAGGGTACATATTCCTTTAAAACCAATATAAATGGTCAACTAAGTGTTTTGCCATCGCGTAACGCTGTAGGTGAAGTGACCACAAGTCACTGCACAGCCCAGAAGATTCAGAAGCTTTCGTATGGTAAAGAGCCTACTTGTTATAATTGCGAGGCTTTCAATTTTATTAACTGACATAGAAGTCTTGAACAAGAAGTACAGACAGTATAAATGGGAACAAACACAAATCAAAGATTATAATCTGTAAAGACAAGTTGCTTAAGTCTATCTTAGGCACTAATTCGAAAACGTTGTAGGCAGGAAGCATGCCCTGGCCTAAAACCTAATAAATGTATCTTTTAGGAATCGATCTAACCCACATGCACATGCAACGAGGGCCAGCGAGGGTTAAAAGTATGCTCTTGGAACATTGGCCAAGTGATACCCTTTCATTATTACCGTCTGGTTAGTTTAGTTTCAAAAATGTTACTTACAAGCGATTTAAAGCCCTCGAATAATCTACAAGGGATTGTGAAGATTTAAATCGACACAATGTGTGAATGTGTCCAATGAGAACCATAGCTCAGGCCAGTCCTCGATTACCAGCAGTGACCTAGACTATAGGATGAGCTAATTCAACAGCCGCTGAAGTCATTCATAACTTTAGCACGTGGCATACACTAACTGGCTGAGAAGGATAGACAAGACAGGTCCTGCAGCTCCACAATCATATTTGTGAAATGTGAAACCACACCTGGTCTGTCGGATTTGATACACAAACCAAACTGAGTGGTTGCGTGTTCGTTGGTCGCAAAGTGGTCCGAAATCGGAACACCTCGTTCCACAAACCTTCAGCCTCAAGGTTTTAATTGACGAATGAGGTTTGGGCACAAGACTAGCAGAAGAGTTTTATCATTTCGAGTTTGGGCAAATAATGTTCTCTGGTTTTCAGCCGCCAGTGAGACATGTCTACGGGAGTCATATCGAAATCAGCCATCCAGTCGTATAATTTGAAAATGTTGTGAATGTCTCTGAAAAAGTGAGGTTAAGAGGAGCACATGTTACATTTATTTCCGGGGATAGAAGTGGTGCAGGCCAACTTTGATAAAGTGGTTGTTTGAACTAAAAAGGAGCATTTTGCGAAGCCTCCAGACCAAATCAAGAAGAGGCAGCGAATCGTGCACGCACAGAGTCTTGTGTGTTTAAAATCATGGTACCTAATAACTCGGTTTGAACTGGGGCCTACACGAAAGGCTCAGCGGCCCAGATGTGGACCGCTTAGCCGAATTCCGGGACTGTTTTCCAGCTACCCCCCACTCTAAACTGGAGTCCTTACCGAAATTCCCACTCAGCTCATCTGTCAGAGCAGGTGAATTTGCACACCGATGATGGTAAGAGCGACGAATCAATGAAGGAACGTAGGAGACTTTGCAGTTTGGAATTAAGGTTTAAATGGGTAATGCAAGAATGCTATCGAGCCAACTGTTACAGGTTAACAGCTACACCTTAAGTTATCTAATATTTTTAAATGAGTATTTTCTTGCCGTTTATGTAAAATTGGTCAGTTGCACCGCAGCATTCGCTCCTATACACCATTAAGAATCCTTAGAAAATCTTCCATCAGATATAGTCAGCTTAAGGGTTCAAACAGAGCAAGAAATAGAATGTTGGTTGGCCGTGAGGTCTAATTTGCCTGTATGTTTTTTTGGTAATGCTGGGAAAAAATTTACTTGCCCATTACCCACACAAAATGCGTACGAACTACGATGACGAAAACTAACTTGACGGGCAAATGACGAACACAACTTGCGCTTATTTTAAAGTATGCTGAGTCGACGATTATCTAAACAAGGCTCACCTGAGTCGGCGGACCAATGTGCTTGGACGCGGAACCGTGATAAACGACAACAACACCGCCGCTTTCGTCGTAGGGTGCACCGACAGCGAAATCTGAGAGGAATCAAAATACGAACATGGACTAAAGGGTAAGCCTGTGAAAGAAAAAAACCCAGTAGATGTTGAGGAATTTCAACACCAACATGTTCTGCGCCCCCCTTAACACTCGGATCCCTCGAGGCGATATTAAAATAATTCACGAAACATTTCCAAAAGCCCTTCCTCTAATCAACGAGTGGATGAATTTACGAACTCGTAATTATTGTCGAAAAATTCAGAACAATGGTTATTTTGAGAAGATGGTCTGGCCAATGAGTGAGAGGATATGCTGTGTTAGCAGTTTGATCGGTAAATTGAACGAGTTTAAGCAATGAAGTTGACTTGAACGCAAGCTCCTAGGTAAACCACTTAACGGGATATTCGATCGTGGAATAGTACAACTTTTGCATAATTGTTTAAGACCAATAAAATTCCCGCAGAAATAATACTTTTTGGTATTTCTTGAACTTTTTCATCAAACACTTGTAAGTACCGGGTCATTAGAAATTGATTGCCTTCATTCTTAAAAGACTGGGGAAATAGACAAGAATGAAGACGTGGTCGATAATCAAAAGATGTGCATTTTCCCTGATTAAAGCCTATTTCATGGAAAGTAATCCATTAAACATGGAAGGAAGCTATCATTCCTTGAGTGCGCAAGCATGGTAGGTGAAAGTAATTCTTTGGATTCACCTTTTCGTTGAACAACCTAATAACACTTTCTTTTATGCTTACTGGGATTTTTCTATTGCTTAGAGTTGGAGGTTGTGCTTAGACAGCCTGGTTAGGTAAACGCTCGAGTTTAAAATTTTATCATTGAATTTGCGACTAAAATGTTTACTTGCTAAAGAATGTTAGAGAAACCAATGAAATCCAAGATTCTTCCCGCGTTAATAAAGTCTATTCCTCATGAAACAGATAGGCTACTCCAATGGCTGTTGACGCCAAGTGTGGTTTGATGTTAAAACAAGTCTAAATTGAGCTAAGGAAACCGAGGATGTCAATTAGCAGTTGTACTTTATCGGGATTTCGACGAAAGAATAGCATCAGGATTTTAATAACGCTGAAGAGAAACTAGCTTCCGTGACAATAGGAGCCACCTTTTGGATTCATTACTCATGATGCCAGCCCAGTACCTACGACTTACTAACAATGCATTGAACCTTGTGGCCTTTCCGTGCATGCAGAAAATAAAAAAGGATGATCTTAATTGGATCTTGCATACTATATTAATTTTTATCAGTTTATCGATTCTAGTGGAACATCGACGAACAGTCCTTAATAAAAAATGCGCTGGCGTCCAACACAACAACAATCTGACTCAGTAGATCAACTTGCATGAACCGAACCAAAAGTTGACTTCCGTTATTAAGTAAATAACTCAAAGGGGGTCATGGTTAATTGCTTAAATGTTGTCTCCAAGCATAATGAGTGGTCAGGCCCAAATTTTAAAACCCAAACTTGACTGCGTTGAAACAACGTACAAGTCTCTCATAAGTTACCATCCTTTTACCAGTTTCCAAGATCAGAGCTTAGACTTACAAATACCAATGCTCAAGTTGGCAATAAACACAAACCGTTTAACAATTTTTGGTATTATGTACGTAGCTAAATTGCACTGACCTGCGAAGTTCACAGTCGCCCACCAGCACAAGAATTCTAGCTTTTTCCGAATGAGGTCATGTCTGCTCCGGCAAATTTTAACCAACGCTCCAATTTTTCCTGTCATTCACAAAATGACCAGTGGGCATTGTTACATAAACCAATCTATTTGCGTAACCATATCATAAATTGCCCGTCTTAATACTATCAGGATTAGGAGCACCATGTCACGATTGGAAACCAAACAGCAGCTAACGTATTATTTGACGATCATTCACGAATGTTGCAAAAGGTTTAAATCATAATGATACAAAAATGTGTTTCTTTATGCGACCTCCAGTCAGCATAACCCACTTCGAATGTTTATGCTTAAACTATTGCTATTATTATGCCTTACAATGTTGAATGCTTTCTTTTACACCATTCTACACCACCCGAAGGCCCAATTCCCCAAACTTTTATTGAAAATGTTCTTCCAGGAGAAGCAAAATAAATAGGGGTGGGATCGGGATTACGAAGAACCGGGGAAAACATTGCGTCGCGCACCCTTAGCGCTTTCGCCATTTGTCGCAAGTGTTCGCCTTCCCCCACACTCTCGTCTCGATCCCCCTCAAACCACACAGTTCTGACGTGTATGGCTGTTTTAAGCGTATTAGCATCATCTAGCCATGCTTCTATGCCCCCAAGTACTTTATTCTAATTTATTTTAAAATGTGGCACAAACTCAGATTATTAAAGTCGCTCTATTAACCAAGCAACGTCTACACTCTACAAACTTGATAAGACGCATTTTACCAAGAATAATCGTGCATTAAAATTGTACTTAGCCATTTGTCCTAGAACTTTACTGACCTAATTTTGAATGCCCTAAGATGCTGAAATCACAATCGGCGTAGACAGTTACCTTAAATTTTGTAAAGCATTTAAAGTAAATTGTTCATCCTCTATGAAGCGACTACACAGTACCATGTGCTGCATTTGTGGTCTTCAAAAACTCCCAGAACTGAAAGCACTAAAGTCAATTTGGAATCGTGTTGGAAAGTACTGCTGCATTTGTTAACACAAGTTGTCTAGCAGACAGCCGCAAGAATAAAGGCTACAGAAATCTCTCACAAGCGTTCACCACAAGTCGGTGGTGGTTAGAACAACCCAGTGAATTGGAGTCACTAACAGCACACAATTATTTTCTACTAAACGTGCACCTTAGATGTTCATTGGGGTTTCTGGTTGGGAACAGACGTAGAGTAGTCGCTAGTTGAGATTCCGAAAACTACCAACCCACTTTAGCCCGTGTCCAAGTGGTGACTCAAAGCAAGCATCTCTTTTGAGCATGAATTACACAGGTCCCTCAAAGATCGAAACGACTTAACAGATGTGCGAAATAAATCAACTTTATTCGGCTTCCTCTTAAATGTCCAAGCGAAACAGTCTTACGAGCAAGTGAAGAAATCAAAAAACGTACTTTTTTGGAATGCTAGCAAAACCAGATACCAAAAAGCTAGAAACACAATGAGGCTACAGACACAGGGATTTGAATAACAAAATCTGAGCAAGTGCAGACTAATGATGTCGCCAATGTCGAGTTTAAATTTTTTGGACTATCCAATCTTCAAAGTTTTAGAGTGGTAAATCGAGAGGTCAGGAGATGGTATGGGAATAGTATGGGTGGCCAAATGCCTGAGCCACTGTTAGGCACAATACTGAAAGCTCGGGGTGAAAACGCAGCGGATCAAAGTACAATGAGATCAGTGATCTCTTGACACATTCAGAACAATCGGACAGTAAGTTTTGCTCCTGTGACAGTGTGGCTAAATAATGATTCTGTATTGGTACTTTCATTTCCCAAAAATCACTGGATTGTAGTGCGAGGTGAGATTTTAGTGTGACAGACCAAAAACGACAGGCACTGTGTGCAAGCCTTCACTAGCGACCGTAAATGGTCCACCCTGACGATGGACTGAGCATTCACACAGACCGCGAGCAGCCAACCAGCAGTGGCAAATTGGGCTTGAGCTCACGGGGCTCCACACGGCACGCTGAGGCGTTTACACCGCTGATGAATCATGCAGGATGCCAGTGGAAGTGAATGCAGGTGTGCAGTTCGCGTTCTGTCTTGCTTCTCCACCGCACCTGGTGGGTGCAATTCACTCTGACGACGCTAAACTCTGAAATGCCTGCATGTGAAAGCTATTCATTGGGAATCGCCCATGGATAAAGCCTTGATGAGACTGGTGCACCAACAATGACCATCATGACGCGAATGGGTCTAACAAAGTAATCGTTCCTATCCCAGGTATGGGCTGAATCACCTCATCAATGCAACCAAGAATATGTGCAACTTGTCGAATTGCGCATTCGTGTGCGCAATTCGTAAAAACGAAAATCTAAGTTGTAAAGAAGGTCACACTAAAGACCTCCTTGAAAAAGATTTCATTACCGCGTTAGTTCAAGACAAGGCAGCTTTTCTTGATTGACTGCTTAGTGAGATGAAACCTTGCGACAAACATAACTCTTTATGGCCACATAAAACAAACTTCACCACCGCAAAGCTGGAATAATGCTCAGAGAAAAGAGAATAATGATGTGTAACTAGGAACACAGCAACTAAAACCAAACGAGCAAGAGATGAATTCGCTCTCCTATTTCGGCGAAAGTAAAATTCTCTTTTTAACTAGAAATGTAGAATCAGAAATAACGCACAGCGAAGTAGCGTATTTTGGTTCAACAAGGGGCAAAGGTCATCATCTACGACAAAGGAACGTTAATTTTCACTCGGTCAAATTTACTTGTAGTATTAAAGCTGTGAAAATTAAGGACAAAGTCACATCTATTACAAATCTACCCACATAACCTGTAACCTAAGGTGGCAGATTCCAATGTAAGCTGGGCCGTATAACCACAAAATCCCTCAGCCTACCGTAGCCTTATCGTGAAAGTGTCGAGAAAAATGGAGGAACCGATGAAGACACATGCAAGTAATTAACATAACTGGACTAACTTATCATGATGCCACCGGTTGCCAACTGCCTTAACGATAATTGCTCACTCCACCCTGTAATCCATGATGAAATTCAAAAATACCCAGATTTTGCAAAAGTCAACAAGGTCTTAGAGAATACCTTATAAACGCCATCATTTAACATTTTTCACTATTTAAGCTTTTTTTAGAGATAGCAGATAAATTCAAATCAAGGGATATGAATCAAAATGGTCGTAATCAGGCGTAACCTTGGAATATACGCTTGGACAGGCCACAGCAACAGAGCTTTAGCCGAGGTTCATGCACAAAAGCAGACTGGACGCGAGTAGATAAAGCGAGTAATTAATTATACCTTATCATTAGTAAATAACGGTGGATGTCGATTAGTTCTGTGAAAGGTACAGGAGTGACTGACTTTCTGTGCTACCAGAACCCTGTGCTGAATGCATGCTCAGGCGTGTTTGGAAAGAACCACCACCAGGGCAAACTGAGCTAGGTAGTAAAATCTGGGAGCTCCGGCGTCTGTGGTGATACTTAAACCGAGGGACTGTACTACTAAGTATGGGCGATAATTCAGATTTTTTTACAAGCTGGTTTCAAAAAATGTGGGTTTAACATAAATTGCTTACATGAAACATGACTATTTGTGCAAGTTGCATGACACCTTCCAAATGATTCACTAAAATGTGGGTGAAAATACTTCCAGCATCACATAACATATGAGTGTCTTATACTTTCATACATTCCTTCGCTTAACTGTGGAACATTAAAGCTACTGTTGACTAGAATTACTTGGCAATTATGAACATGATGGAGTATTGAAAGAGTTGGGGAATTTTGATTCTTAAATTACGTTCTCAAAACCATTTACAAATAAATATTATGGTGAAGTGGTTAAAAATAATTAAGTATGTTGCAAAATGGGAGGTAGTAAATGATTTACTAAAATACGAAATGAAATATGAACAAGAATTTCGCTAATACGTACCATTTATTCCGTCATGATCGATATCGCCTAGATCGGTAATGGCACTGCCAAAGCCACTTAAAGGGGAAAGAGTAGTGGGAGCCCGAATGACCTGGACGTTCCTATCGGAAAAGGCACCAGTGCTTGGAAGACGTTGCTGTTGGTTCCAATAAACATAAACACATCCAAAAGAGGGAATTCTATGCATTCCTCGTCCTTCAATATCCTGATGCAAAATTCCATTTTCTCCCTGATCTCGCTCGAAAGGTGCACCAACGAGCAGATCATCCCACCTGGAAGAGAGCGTGACAAACTACTTCACAACTCTCCTGCACAGACAAACTTGTGAACCTTTTTGGGATTACTTTTTCTAATTAAGTCGTAAACTGTTAAGAAATGAAGAATAACATAAAACATTTTCATAATTTAAACAAACTTTCTAAAATATTTTAAAAGATGTACATGCAATTAGGCTTTGTTACGCACCCATCACCATTTAAGTCAACGAAATTCACTGCGTGGCCAAAACGCGAGCCAAAGAGGCTACCATGAAGGAGCTGACTCTTCATGATCAGACGTTGACTTGAAGCTTTTTCAATAACATTAAGCATAACAAAACCGGATCCATTTTTGTCTCCACTTTGAGGTACTCCAGGGGCTCCAAAGACGGCTACAATTGTTTTTTTGCTATCTGCTGACGGACTGTAAACGCTATCTGAAATAGCTGAAGAGGAACCTAAAAGATAAAATCCTTCGCAGTAACAACTTGGAACCTATGTTTCTAAACGATATTATGTGCAGGTAAAGGAAATCACTTGTTGTTATGGTAAACGCAGAATTAATAATTGTGGAGCAAATTATGGAAATCGGACATAGTTTCAAGTAATAACGCTGCAAGGCGGTTACTCAAAGTAATAAATTAAATTAGGGAGAGTCAAAAATGTATCCAACAGCTTCAAACCAATTGAATAAGTAAATTAATAACTCACCCATCAAGCTGTAGTCATCCAGGAAAGTCGTGTCTGTTCTTCTCACAGGATTAAATCCTGTGTTATTATTTACAAATCCACTTCCTGCAAAATGACAACATCACGAAACAAAAATTAAAATAATAAGTTCACAAGGCATTAACAACGCTTGTACCTTTCGCAAATTGATAGTAAGGGCTACCAGATATGATGATATCGGCGTTTGAATTCCTAAGATAAGCCACGGATGCGCCGTCTAAACAGAAGCGAAGGTCAATAGACCGAGAGGCCTCTGCAATATTCAAACACGTTGAAGCCCCCAAAAATGTCATATTAGACAATTGGTTTTCTAGAGTGAAACATCCTCCTGTGACAAAGACTTTTCCAGTCACTTCATAAGACAGTCGAGGAGAACATGCCTGTAAAAGTTAGTAACAACAGCAATAATTTTTTATTGAGTATCCGTGGTTTATCATAAGTAAAAATAGGAAATTAATATATGAGGATTGTCAACTAGTTACTAGTTTTCACAAGTTAATGATGTAACTGTCTGAAAGTACAAGTAAAAATGCTTAGTTACTTAAGTAAGTATATGGTTTTGTGAGTAACTAGGTTTTAATTCAAAGAGCTTCAACGGTTTTCATACACCCAGGAATCAACACGCATAAAAAGCTCAACACATCGATTAATGGACCTAAATAATAGTTTTCAATTAAATAAAGTGATTACCACTAATACTTATGACACTAATACAGGGTTCACTCATAAAAAAACTGAAAAACAAATACACGCACAATGGCAAATTGGCCGCTCTCTAGTGGTAACGTCGACAAGGCGTATCCGAAAAGTTCCTTCCCAAGCCGCGTGTATGAAAATTGAGCGACTTTGTTAATGTTGACATCTACTCTGCGACATCCTTCAGATTTATATAGGCACCAAAAAACAGAGCCAGATTTACCATCAGAAGGAGCTCCTACAATGAGCCTAAGAAGTTTCATTGATACGTGCATTTACCCCTTCCCATTTAAATGAATTTGGTGTCCTGCAATGGAAAATCCAAAAAGAGATTTTGCATCCCCGCTCTTCAAAAAGGGAAAGGAAACTTCTATGTTAAAACCAGTAGCACTAATTATAACTAAAACGGCAAGAGCGACGATTGCAGTAAAGGATTTGAGCATTTGCCGCCTCCTAACTCGAAAGCCGCGGTATTGTCATTCTAAAAACTCGATTAATTAAAATGGTAAATTAAAATTTAATAAAAGGTCAGATGTAAGGAATGCTACAATAGACACTTAGCAGTGCAAAAAGTATGTAAATTAAAGAAATAAACACCTATTTTAACGTTGACAAAAATAATTATAAACTTATTCGTTTTCTAAAAAAGGACTAGAAAATGCCAAACACGTACATTGTTGCATTCAAATAATTTTTTTACGTAGAAAAAAATTTGCACATTCAATGCTGGAATTTCACTCATTGTAGCATTTGTTCAATTATTTAAGACCTGAACATTTCAAATGAAACCAGTACGAATTCTATGACTTAACGAGTCATTCAACTCAAAATCTCAAAAATATCTTTTATATCTCAAATACTTATGAATATTTATAAATGTGTGCGTTAGGAAAAGCCAATTGTTAAACAAAGCTATGGTGAGTATTTTGGTAAAAAATCGCATGAATTTTTGAAATATTTAAGAAGTGCCAATTTAATCGTTGACTACTGAGACTACGGCATTGTCTTAATGTTCGAATTTAGTGCTAGATATTTGTATTGTTTTTTCAATTACTAAGGACATCAAGGGAGCAATTTTTCTGCGTTAGCTAAAACCGCGCCTTACGTTTATAGGTATTTAACTGCCTCGCAATCTAAATCAAATTAAACACATGAGTTTTCGGCATTTCGAAATGTAAAAGAAAGTATTCGCGAGAAAGCCAAATTTGAAGTAGCGGCCACAAGATCCAGCCATTCAAAACCGAATTAATCAAGAATAAAATGGTAAAGCAACCTGCATTTTTCAGTCGTTGGATGTAATAAGCTGAACTTTCAACTAGTCAGGATTGTTACGGTATCAATAATATTTTTCTACCCGCAAATGATAAACAGAAATTCTATTTGGTTTACTACTCCACGGGTTGTCAAACCAATATGTATTAACAGTTGTTATGAAAGCTTCTGCCTAAGAACAGAGAATTTTTTGCGCGAAGGATATTAGTTTAATTCACGAAATGACGCACAAAATATAAACATTAGTTGAATGGAAATTCGTACTGGGATAGCAACTTACGTAAATCAAATATTGGGCTTCGTCGTTTCAATTTACCGAATGCAGATTTGTTTTGTTTAGAGTCTTAACGTAAATGTGTAGGATAAATTTTGAGAATTTTGTGCCATCACCCTGCCATATACGCCACATGTTTAGCAAATTGGCCATCCAAAAATGTCTTTAAAATTAATCCTTGAATAAAGCAATGGAAAAATAAAAAGTTGATTTTAGTTATGCCCAAAAAAGTGCACCTTGCCTGTAGAGGTTTAGAGAAACATCCCAAATTACTTAACATTGTTCAGTTAAGAATAGCATCGAATAAAAAAAAGGAATATCAAGCAGACGACCCTCACAGAATAGATGCACTGGAGCTTAAATCGTTTTGCGACTAGCTTGGAACTAGGTTATAGCCATGTTCTTACTTTAGCAACTCCTATAAAAGATCTTTTTCAACATGGGTACAGGTAAAATAATCGCGACATTTGTGATAACACACGCCATTTGTTTGCCGCAACTGTAGCAAACATAAGATTTTTAAACGCCCGCGTGAATTTGCCTAATTTTTTCCTATGTATGGACTATACAGTATTTTTTATTGAAAAATATGTATCTATTTATTACTCAAATAGTTCCGAAATGCTAAATAAAGCAGGGACATAAATAAAATTCCTGAAGTAATATTAGTAATTAGGCCTAATGTTTTATTTTTGCTATACGTTTATGTGAGGCTAAACATTTTTGGCTAAAAATAATACTGCACTGTTTTGATAATTCACTGTTTTAACGGTTTTCTTTTATGTCCTAAGCCAACGCTTATTGGTTTTATGTTTTCGAGCCTTTTCAAATTGTTCATTTGCTAATCAGTCCACATATTTCCCCCACCAAATTGGTATGAGTTCATCGATTTCGTTCTTTTATGTAAATTTTAATGATACATACAAGTTTAGGCTGTTTCGTAGATACTGTTTAATTGATTACTTCTGCTATATTGGTTAATTTACTGTCGACGGTTGTTCATTTTGTAGAATTACTAAGCAATTCGACTAGGTTTACTTTTCTGTTATGTTCTCTCATCATAGTATTAATGGCAACAAAATCGCCATGCTTTGCATAATGCTCTTTGCCAGTACGTGAGTTATGCTCGTTTATTTTTGTTGTGCTGTTCAGTCTGTGCAAGGCCAATACATCATTGTTACTTGTAAATATGTTTTTTGTGAGTTGTTATCTAGTTTTACTAGCGTTTGAGTGTGTCAATTGTTAGTGAATTGGTGTTTGTTTTTTAGTTATGTCCATTCATATACGTTGTTTGTGTTGCGCAATATTTTCGTTTAAAAAAATTAAATGTCTGCGTTGTTACACTATGGTATTCTTTTAGTTGTTGTCGTTGACAATTAGTTTTCTACTACCATCTTGGCTGGACCTTTATCACGATGACTTCTGAAGAGCAATTCCAGCAGATATGTCGCATAAATCAACTGTTACCTTACGCGAGCAAGTTGGAGGCCTACTCCGACGCCGCCAGAATGGGCTTGCGGGCGACACTTGTGCGTCTTATTTCTTCTAGTTCTTACCTCTCTCAGAGTCCACACACCCTCGATTTTCTCGATAGGTAAGTAAGGGAACTTTACTGACCTGTATAGTATAGTACTGCATGTAGGCACCTAAAATTAAGTCCCATCCCATCGAACCACACCATCAGCCTCCAAAAATTGAAATTGTGTTTACTTATAATTCCTCGGTGATCTTAGCATGTGCTTTTTAGTTATATCTTAGTATATGATAAGTTATGCAATGCCTGTTCTGCGTAGCAAATTAAATTAGTGGGTCATCTGTTATTTACATTTAAGATCAAACTCGAGAGGGGTCTTTATAGGCGTGTTAATCCCCAAAATGTTTACTTTTTGTTATTAACTTCGCCTAGTAAAAGGGCAGTGCTTTTTCATTCTAGCTATGTGGACTTGTTTGGATGTCGTTTCACAAAGGAGGAGTATCTGGCCATCTTTAAATTTGGTCTTGGTCTTGGACTCTGCCCACAAACGGACCCAAAAGATGCCGTTGCCTGGTTAAATTTTATCACTAAGATTCTCAAGTAAGTCAGCAGTGCATTGTAATGTGGAAACTTCATTTGGATCTGGCTTAGTAGACGTTCCTGCATGTGTTTATACTAACATGGTTTGCGAGGATGCCTTGGATGAGTATTGAGGAATGCCTTTGAGACCATTAGATTTGGTGATGTAAAAGTCTTAGAAACCTGGAATAAGTCTGTTTTTATACATTTTGGGCTATTATTGCAAACCAACCAGTTCAGTTTCCGGAAACGTGACTTATTTGTATCCAGACACGCTACTTCTCAGGATATTAAGCCGCCCGAGTGCTTTATTGATCACTGTAGGCAAAGTCAAAAAAGAATTAATACTCCATGCTGGGCAGTAAGGCCTCCAGGCGACACAATTGTGCATTATAACCCCGTCCATTGTATTACTCTACTTGCGTTTTTAGGTATTCCCGCGCATATGTAAGCGTAAGAACCAAAGAAGGTTCACCAAGTCCCCCCCGAAATTTGAACTTCTAGACTCAATTGTTCATTAACTAGTATACTATCGAATAAATGCACAAAACTAGTATTCACATCACAATTCATGCGTAAACTTGTTTTGAAGCCCTCCTAATGCAATCGACATATATTACTAAATCTTAAGGAGAAATGAATTTTCGAAATAAGCCGCTTCACCTTTTTTGAGATTATGTGGTACATTTTGATCGGTTTTGTGTAACGTTCTCTTGTCAAAACATTTACTTTTCAATTTATCATAAAGGCTAACCTGTGAAATGCTTTAAATAAATGTTCGTGCTAATGAAGGGGGAATTGAGGATCCGCGCAGCTGGTGACATGTTGCAAAAAGGAGGACCCTGTGTCGGGGGCCGGAGTGGTCGGATTAGCGAGTGTGAATCAGCGAGATTCACAAAAAGACCAACAATTGTTTGTTCTCATAAAATTAAGCGTAGGCACTGCCAATCTAGTTATTAGTTTGTGCATGTACCTGTTTGGTTTTTTCAAAGAAATCATATTTGATCTGCTCATTTTTATAAATGGGGAATTAAAATCGATTTCTCTGTCACGATGTTTTATGCATTGGGGAATCAAATCTTTTGTGCATTCATACAATCGATTATAATTTCATATTGTTACTTAAAGCGTATTTATTGGTTGTGTACATTTTACTGCAGTTTGGTATTAGAAATCACAATTCTATTTGTTATAGATTTTCTTTAAACTGTAGAATTATTGTAGTCAGGTATTCCTTCGAAATTTCAAAGTTGGAATACACTCTTAGGTGTCAAGTCCTCAAAATGGTGCACTCAGTGTAACGTTTAAATAGCCTGGCAATGCAAATGCATGTTTTTTTATATTTGCCGGTGATGAAAAGGGATTAATTCCAGAGGTCTGAAGTCTTGCTTTCAGCATATCTCTGTCCATAAGAATTACATGTGTTTAAGTTTTGAACGTCAACCATACTTTGGCGCAAATGCCTTCAATAGCATGTACCTATGCTTCTTAATTCGCATACTAACTCTTCCTTTCTCCATCACGTGCCCGTAAGTCTTACGAATACACTTTTAACAGGAAACCATGGTTAAAGTTAATTTGAAAAACAATTCTTCAACTTGGTTCAAAGCACAACTTTGTAATTTCTGGTTGTTTTTCACATCATGCCATTACTTGATTGGAAGTATGAGCTCGAATAATCCACTAGCTACTTTGCTACCACGTTTTTTCGTCTTCAGCCCAGATATGTGCACTAAAAGTGGGGCGTGTGTGTTCAACCGTCTCGCATATTTATGCTTGTTCATCGTTGAGATTGGCTATGCAACAGCTTAAATCCGATCTATTGCCAAGTAATTTAGCCTACCTTGACTTACCGTCTGAAGGATGACCCCATCTACACTTGCCTTCTGTTTTGATGAAGCGACTGGTTTGGATACTGTGTTTTTTGTTTTCATCAGACTGGATTAAAATGATCCGATTTGGGAGATTTGCGAGACTTTCATGTATTGATTATAGCCAGTGCTATGTGATTTCACACATTTCTGTTTGTTGTGGTTTGCCTTTTTGTGTGTAAAGGTGCCTTACACTAACTTACATAGGTCGTGTTGTTATGCTTTATGACGCCATATTTGTTTTCAGGTGTTGCAGCTGGACTCTCACCAGCCAAGACCTCCAGCTTAACTGGAGGGACTTTAAAAACGCACTCACTAGAATCCCTGGCTCTATGGATGTGAGATACTGCAAAGAAAAGTTCAAGTAGGTTCTTTCTTTGCTCAGGCTCATTAACACTGAGACCTTATGAGTATTGAATGGTATAAAAGCTGTTTTAGGTTTTGGTATTTCTGTCGGACACACGAACAGCTTGGGAAATTATGTATCCAAGTTACTAGATCCACCATTGTAGATCCAATCCAGTCACTCTCTTCCAAAACTTTGCACAATTTCTAATCCGAACTCCTTGTTCTCATTTCAGAGACAATAAAGTTATATACAATCTCCTCAGTAAATGCCAGAGGTAGGTGATGTTTCTGTTAGCCTTTTCTTGCTTACATATGAAGACACACACCTTTATGATAAATTCAGTCGATATTGTTGTTCATTCACACTCCACCTGTCTGAATGTTGTTGTACGCAGTGTTGTGATTTAGGCGTGTGGTTTATCTGTAGGAATCAAACCAAGATTTGGGACTCCTTGGTTTAGGTTCCCTGATTATTGCGAGTTTTAGGGACTGATAGTTCGCACTTTTGTACGCCCCGTCGGAGAACTGGTCCTGTTCTGTATTGATAAGTGAGCCCAGTACTGTGGATCCCTAATGGTCATTGAGGTTCCGCCATGTAAAACCATTAGTGTACTTCACATGGACATAGAGATAGGCTATTTTGAATCAACCTCTTGGTGTATCTGGAGCGTGCTCCCATCTACACACCTACAGAGCCTCGTTCTCGTTGCCCCTGTACTTCTGAAATACAGCATTAGCTTGGTGTGTTTCACTTGCTTCAATTTTCTTTTTAATCGCAGTCGCACAAGTCGGTCTTGGTACTTTTCTTACAGGTTCTTTCCCGTTTCGTGCGTCGCCGAGATCTGGAACGAATACCGGGCGAAGATTTTTTCTGCAGCACTTTCCGGTCCATATGAGAAGCTATTCCAGCCCCTCGTCGCCTATACGCCCTTCATGCCGCACACATTCGACGAAATAAGGTTGAATGCGAGATTATTTCGAGCATTTTATTCTAACTTATGTGGCAGTATGCTTTAAAGGTGAACCTTTGCAATTAAATAATTCGATCACCTGAGTAGCATTTTCAATTGTTTTCCAGTTAAAGAAGTCAGTTAAGACTGGTTTAAAAAAGTCGTACGTTTCAGTGCTTGCAACAGACCACCCAGTGAATGTTACTTATGAGATTTACGTTCAAGGAGTGAGCTGGTTTTGATGATATCTCAAGTTGAGTTTGTGACATGTCATATTTCTCGAGCAAAGTACAACTATCCTGAGTTGTCGCGGCTACACAAAGTGCAGGGTTGATCGAAATTCTCGCAGACTTGCTTTGCTTTATTTCATCGATTTAGCTTTACCAACATTTATTACATGTAATATTTTTCTAATACTCCTGCTTTGATCGTCTTCTAGGCGTCAAATCGAGGTCAGTGCAGACTAAAACGTCGAAGACCTCACCAAAACAAATAAACGTGTCAATTTGCAAAGTGTTGCATTACTTGCAGATCACTAATTGATCTTCCATGCAGGACATTAGGCGTTCGATGTGTTCAGATGTCAGAATCACATTGTTCTGTTAGCGTAGGAATGAGGCTTTGACGAAAACGTACCGAAGTATCTGAAAATGCTCGAGTTAGCCTTTTTACACTTAAATGGATGCTGAGCATGATAATATGTGGCCATAAGCAAATTTTGACTTTTAGTACACAAGGCCTAGGAAACATGAAATGTTATCGCTGTCTATAACGTTAGCAAAAATGGCAGTTACAGTACATTTGATCTCTGGTATTCGAACATATCTGACATTTGAACGCAAGTAATTTTTGAGTACAAATTACTAGCTTTCCCCAACTGACCTTTAACAGTTACCATGACACATTGTTATGCTGATTTTTCTATTTGAAATATTCTGTGGCTAAGATAGGTATTTTTGTACATTTAACTTGATCTTAATATAAAGTGTCTGATCAGCAATATTGTCAACTTGATCTGAAGTAATGACAATTGAAAATGGGAGACAACCGTTATGAATTGATATCAGACATTGTTGTATTCCCGTTCAATCACCATCGCGTTGCTTTCAATATTACTATTTGACGTCGCATTTTGCCTCATTCGTTTTAGGCGTGTATGGTTGGATGACATTTTTCACATTTGGTACAAGTTCGCCGATAACCACGATCTTAACCGGGTACGTTGCGGATCGTTCTTAGAAGAGCGTCTAGTCGCTTTATCCTAGATTCATTCAACAATATCTATACCTGGTGTGTGTTTTTAGTTTAATAATCTAGAGACTTACTGTTCAATCACGTGTCGGTGTAGGGCAATCGTAGCAAGGTTCGCAATTCATGCTTGAACCTAAAATAGCCACACAAACGCTCAAAGCGTTTCTTCCCAGATTAACGCAAGAGTTGTCTACAGGAGGAGTGGACAAGGTAGTTCGACGTACCACTTTGCCCCGCTTGTGTGTCATGTAATGTGCAAGTACTTGCAGCCATGCCAAATGACGTGCATAATTTGTGTCTTTGACATGGTCCGTGATTTTTTTAGGGACTTAATTTTCCCGACCATCATTGCGTTGGCAAAAGAGCCGTTTCTCAAAAATCTAGTTTCAATAATTTCTGAGAAATGCATGCTCGTTTTAATCTTTGCTGCGCTAAAGTAAATTTTTTAAATTCATTTTTATCCGTCATCCGGTGAACGACCAAGTTAATTGTAAATTCTCCTCACAAATGCTTCGACTCGATTTTCAAAGAAATTCTGTACGCTAAATTGAAGGGTTCCCATCGTAAATTCCTGACAATTCAGATCCGTAGCTTATCAAATTAGTCTTCCGTAGTATAGTGTGGTACAATGTATTCCCCATAGTTTTTCTTACACTAAACAGTGGCCTCTTCTGCAAGGCCTTAAGTGCATGCACTGTGTTTAAATTGAATTTTCCGTCATACGTAGATAGCTAACAGTCAAACTATGTAAATCTCCCCGGACCTTGTTTGTGACGGCGAATTGATTCAATGTGTAATCGTTTCAAAGTGGTTCATGGCTTTGTTCGAGTAAGTCTTCCTTGTAAGGAAAGCCAAGGTCCAAGGTTGTGCTTTCTCAGTTGGATCATATTTTTTTGGTTTGCCGAATAAACTCGGCCGTGTTTTTCTATGATTGTGGTAGGAGGTGATTCCCTTGCTCGGATTGCTAGCCCGGTCCTGTCCCGGAAGGATCGACTGGGAGCCCCACCTTGATCGCGTCTTTAATGGCATCGTGTACGATCTCTGCGTTCGTGCACCGGCGAGTCCTGGCGACCTCAAAAAACGAGAAATTGCTTTACTCCATGGTTACGCCTACCTCGTTGTGTACTCCATTTCTCCTGGATCGACCACTTTCAAAAGAATGCGCGATCTTTTCACGGTAAATCTCCTGAATTTTTGGTGATTTCTTCGAGTCCCTTACCTTGACCTAGCACAATATGTGGCTTATTCGTGAAAGTCCGAACAAAGAGTGACTGACAGTTTTTTTTCAATGGGCGGTTCTCATTTTTACGAGTATAATGGACTTGCAGTAGCATGCAACTGTAGCTCCAAGAACCACGTGTTGCCCCTTTACCAAAACTTGAAGGTGTCCATTGTATTATCTTCGTTCTTACGCCTAGCACATGACCCCACGCAACGCAACTGTTGTGGCTTGAGGCTATGTTTAAAGAGTAATTGGTGTCTGTCCACGTTGTTACAGCTCACTTGATTTGAGTTTGATTAACGTAAATCCAGTTCATTTTCTCCATCCATCTGTTACGAGCCTAGTAAACCCTGTGTGCTTCTTATTCTGACCCTGATTTGAATGAATCAATAAGTTGGTCATTTTTTAATCAACATTGTCCCTTCTTTAACGCACTAACCCTAGTTGCTTTTTCGTTTTTTAAATTGCCTGCTTCCATTAAATTGTAAACGGTCTACTCCAATGGTTCACTTGGGCTGCCATCGTGCATCAGTTCTATCACCTCGGCAATTTTCAAATGCAGATTAGTCTGTACCGCCGCAGTGTGAATATGAATCGGGCAAATTGTTTTAAAATGGTCCAAGTCGAAATACAGTTTTCCCTTATTATATTTTTGCCTGTAAGTGTGGTTCCTTAACGAAGCTCTGAAGCACAATGAAAACCAAATTAGACGACCTCGGATTTATACCCTTTATTTCCCTACTGGAACTTCTCATAACCTCTCGCATTAGGGATTGGAAGCGTAAAATTTCTCCACTGGTGCCCGTGTGTAGGTGCCCTCTTATTACTTTTGTGTCGCAGGTCTGTAAAAGCATGTTCCACCCCTCGATGGACAGCAGCTCGATGTTCGCTTTTGCCACCTTTTGTGTTTATCTACTTCTCGTCATGGTGTCGCGGCTTCGCAAGGAATTTAGTCGATGTCCCCAAAACAGGGCCCTCTATGGTGAAATACCTACCTGGGTAGTTTCCTTTTTTCTTTGTTCTTTCCAGTTGCTTTTCTTGAAATAGTCCTTGGCATTGAGTAACCTATTACACAAAGCGGTTTATCCGAGTTGTACTTATTTGGTGCAATGTGAAAATAAACCGAAGTTATGGATTTCTAGGTTTTGCTTGTAGAATTTAGTTTTTTACGAATATGCGTCCCTTGCCCGAAAACGTTCCTTTTTTCCTGCTTGTCAGTATAATTTTTAACGACCTCTCTCACCTATGCATTAAATTATGGCACAATGCGGTCTATAGTTTAGGCCTGCATAAGTTTTTATATTTACTACCATGATTTAGGCACGCCGAAGTATTTGTAAGTCGCAATTTATTTGTTGGGAAGAAGTGCAACATATCGGTGGATTAACCCAAAACTAACGTCATTTTGCAGCAAAATTTGACCCGGGAGCAAGTGGATGACTTTGTAGACATCCTCCTGCCGATCTGCCTCGACGCGAACCTCTATGCTCGCAATTCGAATGCTGTACAAATAGCGCTTTGCTCGACACATCTTCTGGCCTCTCTGCGGCCAGGCCTCTTCTTCCCCCGCCTTCTCGCAGCCCTCGAGTCGGGTTTCGAGTTGCCCGAACTGCCGATGCGTGTCACGCGACCCCTGATGGTTCTCTCTGAGACTTGCTCCGCTGCCACGTCACTGAACATGGTCATGGCGTGGAACCCCCATGAGATGGGGCGTCATCCCTCCGACCAGCCTCAGTATCAATTAGCTCCCGGAGAGGTAAGCAGCCCAACAATTGTAAGGTCTTCAAGTGAAGTGCACACATGGTGTGTTCACAGTTTGGTGTGCCGTGTGTGTCGTCAACGTCTGGGTAGCTTGGATTCCCTTGGTATCCAAGGAAAAGCGTTTCTTATGTCAAGGAGTTGCTAGGTGTGTACTTGTTTAGATTGCCGTCGAAAGTTACAAGATTCTTGAAGTTTTTCAGCAGGGTAATAGAAGTAAGTCTTCGAAGGTCGTTTTGGAGGACTTGTTCTCCTTTTTTATTTTTTAACCGCGCAGATACCACCACAACAGACACCTGAACAGCGCCAATTTCTTACCTCCCACCTGTCCTCTCTGCTCTACGCTGACGGTCGGGGTGATGTGGCGCGGATTTTACGCTGCTGCGTTGCTGGCATCGACGTCAACGACACCGAACGTCTAACCGCTAGTCTTAAGGCCCTCGGCGAGTTATGTGAGTTGCGGTGCTTCATCTTTCTAACTGCTCTTTCACTGACCCCCAATATATTAGCCCTTAGCCAATGCACCTTTCTGCTTAAGTCTAGAAACGATGTTTCGCTTTAGTGACTCGACCATTATGAACGTTTGTAAGCGTCAAATGTAGCGTTTTCTAAATCAGATTGGTCGCCTTTGTATCATTTTGTTAATCTGCTGTTCCCTACAATGTCTCACCAATTATAAGTGTTTTAAGCTCTTGAAATTTACCTAGGACAGATTGTTTCGGCTGATGTAAAGCGAATTGGAAAAAATGCTGAAATTGACCGGAGAAATACAACGATAAATTGCGCGTAGAGTAAACGACGTTTTACTCCCTGTTCTGCTAGATACCCCAGTTTTCGGTAGGTCGCGTAAATCCAATTTGAATCTGAAACTTGGTCTTCCTATTTGCGTGCGTATCTCTCGCGAATTTCCGTTAAGTTGCCAAACGATGAAATAACAGCGTTCGGTGGACTCGCTCGTGTGCCGTGGGCCTGGGCGTTTCACACAAAACTACTATTTGTGCGATGTAATTTCTAAATGCCTCTCTACTCAAATCGTTCTTGTGCACTTTTTCTAGTTTTGAGGACACCAATGCAGGATTTCTCAGATGTTTGCCTTCCAAACATTTCAGAAAGACAGAATTCACCATTTCTGCAGACTATTTCGTCGACTCTGCAACCGCACTTTGCAGCTAGTCGAATCGCACTGGCCAGCCTCGAAATCGAGGATTTGGCAATGCAGGTTTACGCTCGTCTGCTTCAATGCATGATTAGCGTGAACGAGACTGCGCACCTCCACATGGACGCCAAAGAGGGTCACCACGATACGGAGCAAGTGCTGACATCTAAGACAAACGATTCACGTCTTCTCTGTAGCTTAACGGGGGTGGCGGTGGCCCTTGGCCTTTCTGCCTCTCCTGCTCCGCGTCTCCGCGTGCGACTCGTCAAGCTGCTCATTGACGCACTTTTTGCCAACCATTGGACGCGCACCAGCGCCCGCCTCCTCAACTACCAGCTCATTTGGCTAATCAGCGGTCGACGCGGCATTGAAGCGGGAAAGGATGAGGCAGACGTCGCCCTGTTTGCTGTACGAGAATTTTGGCCACGTTTCTTCCAACTCTTCCAGGAGCTTGACAATGGTGGGTCTTTATCATAAAATACACTTTGAGTTCATTTTGTTCTCTTCCAAGTCCTGTGGACGCCTCTTTCACCAACACTCGAATATTGCGAATGCTTTGCTTGTCCCGCAAACAAGGCGTGTACTTTTCGGGTCACAAAGCTCGATTATGAAGTTTTTTCTGTTAGGTTGCCGTTGGTCATTCCTCTGTTTCAAGTTTATTGACGCTATTTAGTCCATAAGAAGAAGATTGGCTATCAGGCTAACAGGCCTTTGTTTACCTTCCGTTGTTTTGGCTCAAGATTGTCATGAAGTCCTCATCCTGAACTCAAAATTTATTAGAGGTTTTTAGTACCTGACTTTCACATTTAGGCTATTGGCTTTTAATTTTGATTTTACACTGGTTTTTACAATTTTGCGCATCTTTCAACACGTTGCGTTTACGACTTTTTTGTCCCATAGAAAACTGCATTACTTGTCTTGGCAAAGCGGAACCACGTTTACTTGCCCTGCTTTGTGTCCTGCCGGCCTATGTTTGTGCGCTTGTGCCTTCACATCTCGCCCAAGCTTCTCAGGAGTTCATCTACCCTCTTATTGACGTACTCTCCCGCCTTTTAACCATATCTATTGGCGCTGAGGGTCAAATACAACCTTGCCATGATCTCGCGGTTTCTGCCTCCATTTGTGCGGGCGTTCTGCTCCACCGTCTTGTGGCTTTTTCGATAAATTTGGACCACGTGGATCTCCTCAACACCCACCCGCAAAGTCCGCCTTCCGAGTCTGCGTATCTCACTAATCCCTTGTGGTCTCCCTATGTGACCTGGCGTGACATGCTCCGAACGTCTTTCTGGAATCAACCGACCCCCGAGTCCTTTGCTGTAGCTGAGCACGTCGTTCGCAGGCTGCTTCTTCCGACTCTGGCGAAAGTTTCTGAGGCCACTGAAGAATTGAAGTTCTACATTGGTGATGAGGGGGGCGTGGAGAAACTGCCCCAGCTCCCCCAAACATCGAGTCAATCATCGACTTCTCTGCAACGCCAGTTCCTTGTCGACCTTGTCACCTGGGTGCACATGATTTCTGCTGGGCTGTGTGAGGCTCTCAAGCCGAGAAAAGTTACTCAAGCAGACGTAAAATTTGTAAGGCAAGTGTGCACTGAGCTGGAGTTGGGTCGGGCTGAGGTAGTTACGGTGCCGAAACATGCTGGTGGTGATGATGTTAATCTGGACTTTCCCTGGTTTGATGTGCCTGTCGACGCAAATGGAACCTGTCTCCGGGAGCACATTTTCCGTGTTGGCCTTGGCTTGTTGGATGTGTTTGGAAAACTATGCAGCAAGTATGACATTCTCGTTGCTGATTCTTCAAGTGAGTCCGGAATTTCCACTTATAGGACTGAAAACGCGCTCCTGTATCCTTTTTCCAAAACTAGCATTAGCATAATCTGTTTTAATAGGTTCCTCCACTAGGATTCTCTATCCTAATTCAAAGCAATTTTGGGCTGCAATTTGGCGAGGAATTAGTTCATAAGCGTTGTAACCACAGGCACCCATCATATACTCTGCATTTCTACGGAACACGTTGAAATTCGGCATCAGTTCAATTGTAGCGGCCTTGTCCGTTCCATTATTCATTCAGTTTTATCCATGTAATGACATTTGGTCATTTCACGTATGTTCTATTTTTTTTTACTCAGTGTCCCTTAACTAGGAAAAAAGGGCCTTGGGCTTTGTAATCAGAATAAAATAATGATCGTAGATATGAAGTTGAACGCATGTTAGAGCTGTTTTAATGTATCAGGCAGTAACCTTTAAAAAGGAGTCCATGTCTATTTTTTGCAGCTCAGTCAAACGGCGAGAGCGTTATTAGCAGCCTGTTTACCCAACAAGGTCTCGACCACCTCACCGACACTGTTTTTGCGGCTTGCTTCAACATTTCGTCCTGCGAGTCCAGCCCCTCCCACGTCTTATTGAATTCAAGGCTGTGTTTCATTTTAAAAGCCAATTTGGGCGTGAATTCCGGCACATCTCTCTGCGACGCTACAAACGAAGAAAAAAACAACGTCTTGCCCTCGCTCGTGTACTGCGCCGGCACCCCGCAGGCCTTGCTGGAGGCCTACGAAAGGGGCGATGCACCCTCCACGCAGTGTGGCGGGGGAAGCTGCTACCTGGCCGGATTCTTGCCCATAGCCTGGCTTGCTCGAGCGCATAGAAGGCACGTGTCATTTGTAGGCCTTGCTCTCAACCGAGCTGCCGTGTGGCCGGGTTTTGAGGCGGCAGCTCTGGTGAGCTTCACTCAGATGCCAGCAAGTCCCGACTACCTTCTGCTCATGGAGGTCTGCGCGCAATTGTCCTTGGCGTCTAATAACGCTAAGGCCACTTGTATTGCACCGGAGGCACTCGATGAGCATTTGGGCCTTCGGGTGCCGGGAGTAAGTTCTGAACAGCTCCCTATATGCCGACCCTTTGCCCCCTCCTTTTTGGCGGAGGTCGCCTGAACTGACCTTCTATTACTAAGCACTGTCTCCAAATACGACGTTTGGGCAGCTTCCAGGTTGTATCTCAGGCAGTGTATTAGCATGCTGCCGAACATCCATCTACCAAAGCCCCTCCAGTACGAAATTTGACAGCGGCTTCAGTTGTGTGTAGGCTTGAAGCAGTTTTGAAAGTATTTGGTTTGTTCATTCGTCATACACAATTCGCATCATTCAAATGCAAATAGTATCCTCTAGTGCGTCGATGAAGGCTCAAAAAACTGGGATGTTTCGCCCTCTAATTCCGTAGCATATTTAAATCGCCGAAAAGTGACCTGAATGCAACAAACAAATTTGTCACTTCAGGAGAGGCTCTTGGAAGAAATAGTGCTAACCTAATCAGCAGGTCGTTTTCAACCGACGTGTGCATGCCCAGTGGTTATGCTTCTTAAAGCTGAGCGAAGATGGCATTTTAGGCTGCGTTTACTTTCTCCTGCAGCTATGCATCGGGAGCCTCAAAGTTTGCCGAGTTTTACTAATGCAAACTTCGACGAACGGGATTCTCTAGAGCCGGTGACTGTGTGTTAGAGCAAATGGATATTTGATTAATTCAGGAAAAGTTATTACAAGCTCTACTGTACTGCTGTCTAAAAAGTGTACTTTTTATTTTCTCTTTTAGGCGGCGTCTTTGGTAATCCAGCGCGCAGTTGACGTGCTTAAAGAGCTTTTTAATCGTTCATTTCTCGCCGACAATGAGTTAATATACCGTACTCAGCTACAACGCCGCCAGAAAGCTTTCGTCCTCCTTCTTCACTGCATCCACGATAGTAAAATATTTGTTGAACTCCGCAATATTAATCCTTTGCTTTGGTCCCGGGCCTGGGTGGCCATGGGCAAGACAGCGGCTTTCACCGCCATAACTGCCTCAGGTTCTCCGTCACCGTCTAAGAAACGTTCACTTCCTCACGTTCTCTCGCAGACCCAACTCACCCAACGCTACAATGACCAAGAAGACTTGAGTCAGTCATTCATCTGGATCTTTGAAGAAATCGACGGTAGGACCATCCATCTACACTTCCCCACCTCCTTTGAAGTGGACTATCATCCACGGAATTCTAGCCTTCGGTGTCTTCTTGGTTATGCTCTTGAACTACTCGATGTGCTCGGAGGATCAAGATCTGACGTGGTCAAACAGAATCCATCTCTGCTGGTTCTAAGTACTTCACTGCGTCGAGAGGCTTATTCTTTCCTCTGTAGGGGCCTCTTTTCTGAGTGTATTGAGCCCATAGACATGATGGCGAATGCTGCGATGGTTGAACGCGTCCTCAGGTCGTGGCCCTTCGTCGTTGATCCACCAGATAATCCACCGTGGGAGTCAGCCTTGCCAACGGGTGAGATGTTGAGAATCTCTGCGCCACCTCCACCTCCATTGCCCTCTGCCATGGTACGAATGGTCCTGGGTCTACTCACCACACATCAAACGACCCTGGCATCAGCCGCAGCGCAGTTTATTAAACGATATCTCATTATTTACTTTCTGCGCTCCCGACCCCAAAAACTTATTCTACTTGAATCAAATAATTGTGCGGTAGAAAATGAAAGTCAGACTGACAACGTGGGCTTTATTAGTGATCCCGGCATGGATTGCTTGTCTTCTGATGAGAATTTCACCCGACACAATCATGTACCTCGTCTCTTGCGAGGATACCCGTGAGTTTTTTTTGCGTAGCTTTAAATACCTCGAATTCGGCTTTCCTGTCAAGATTAAAGCAAAGGCCAAGTGAAGACAAAGTCAGGACTCTAGAAAAACGAAATAACTTAAACCTTCCTGAAATCCCGGTGTCATGCGCTATCATTGTGGTCTGGCTTTCTGTTGCCTCTTAGGCTCCCACGAAAACCTCGTTTTGTCTAACAAGACATGACCAGTGAATAATGCCTTTGCCTTGAATAAAGCCTTTGGAATCCGAGGTGGTGAGAGTGGCATACTTTTGTACCGTCTTGTAGTTTTAGATTTGTCTTATTGGGTTGGGGAATAACCAGTGGCAGTATAAAGGTGATTTACCTGCCAATGTGACAAATGCTGCAATCCGAATTCTTCCCCATTGATTAACCAAGTATTTGTGTGAAGTTTTATTCATTTTTGACATGAAATTATCACCAAGCTACGAACAATATTTTTATTGGGTCGAAATCTAGGGGCTTTATCAAGCAAGGATTAAGAAATGTTGACCGTTGGGGTAAATTAGTGAATAACAACGGAGAATACATTATTGATTTACTTTCACATTGTTACTAAATTAAACCAAGTTTTCTCCTGTGTAATGGGTAAATTTATTAAAATCGCAATGACTCCATTAACCAATTCAATATATCGCCTAAAATTCATATCGCCTACCTGTCTTGGCGATTTTGCTATTAAAAGTCACAGCACCGTTAACGCGGTAGGATTGACTCTGTTTATTGTTTTGCCTATTGTGACTGTCAGACTTTTGTATGAAAATTTTGTGCTTTGTTCCCGTTGTAGATACTTAGGACCGTCGAAGACGTGGCCTGACCCCATCTACTCCCCAGCTTACCCCATCTTCTCCCCTGATGACGACAGTCAGTTAGTGACTTCCGAAGTTGGCTGGCTCGAACCCCACCCACAAATGGACTTTTCGCTGTTCTCACCAGCTGACATACTTGAATTACGCACAGGTCTCATGGACACTGCCAGGCACATGGCGTCCCGCGAGTTCTGGTCCGTCCTCAGCCACCAGTTTCTCCACTTCCACCGATGTGCAGACAGCAATCTCGTCTCTAGCTTTCATCGCCTTCTCTCAATTGTCGCCAACTGCTTCGGTCCGCGACCCCTCCTGGAACGCCTCGAGGGCTACATCATGTCACTGATTAAACCGGCATTGATGGGCAATGCAGATGGGATTGTGGAGTTCGTGGGACCAACTTTGGCAGGCCATGCAGCCACGGTTCTTGCTGTTGGTTCACTGTCATGGCCCCGGGAGGCTCGGCTCGCTGTCCATTCGTGTACCCTGCCCCGCGTTCTTGTGGCTACCGAGGCGGCGGCACTGTTTGCCTCAACACGACCCACTGGTCGTTCGGTGAATGAGGGTCTGCACCATGCTCTGGAAAATGTCCGATTTGCCTCGGTCACTGCTGCTTTCGGCAATGGGGGTAAACATATTTGGAGCTTAAAATTTCTGTGTTGACCAACAAACAATTCTGATTCACTGAATCCCAAGTGAAATAGCCTCCAGCCTTTGCCCACAAACATGGGTTTAGTGGAGGAGGGGGCGATTTCGGAGTTCCTGCTCATTGAACGCATAAACACAGTCGCTGCCCTCCCACTAGGCAGCAACAGAATGGGTTTCATGTTGGTGCATGTTTTGTTCCTTTCAATAGTCCAGCATTAGCAAAAGTTATCGCTAGTCGTATGTTTACTCTCATTTCACATAACATTTCTTGTTGGCTTTTAAATTAATCATACTGTGTAGTTTATTTGACCAACCTGGGCTAATTTGCGACTAGGGTAGTCTGGTGATTTTCATTTTAAATTTCATTCGTGTTCTTTTTTGCTATTGCTACTCTGCTTTTTCCCATAGAACTCTTGCATGGGGAAGTAATTGGCAATCCTACATTGGAAACTAATCGAGCTCTTGAGTTTTCCCTTACTTCACCTAAGTTCCAAAACTCTCCTCACTAGATCATGTCCCTATAATGCTTCCCGCTAGGTGGATCCACTCCAGCCTCGCCTGAGTCTGTCACTTCACCTGACGACGCGATGTATCCGACTGACGTGGCAGAAAAGGACCGCCAAATGCTCCGAATCGTCAGGGAGAACCGACGCTGTTATCGTCTCAACGACAACATCGTTCATGGGCCACCAGTGTCTGGAATGAAAGTTGATTGTGGAGGTCCAAAAGTGCGTTTGCCCTTCACGTACTCCAATTTTATTCCGAAGTACTTGGACTTCGGTGGCTCCCACTCAAACTATCTTGCGTACCTATGGAAATTCGCTCGCGCCCTCATGCTAGATGCCAATGAAATACTTTCAGATGAACCAATTGATGGCTTCAAACTGGTACGTTCATCGCAATGCAATCCTTACAAAGACAGTATGCTGCTGATCTGCCTATCTCTTTGTCTAAATCAATCGATAATTTGTCCAGACTGAGTTTAGGACCTTGTTCAGTGTACGTGTGGCAGTTACGTTGCTTGCGCTACACCCGTGACACTGCAAAACGAGAACTTCACCGCTAATCCGCGTAATATTACGCCCTTAGTCAGCAGTGACGTGAATTTAATTGATCCGTCAAAGATTTGTTAACAAAACAGTGATGCACTTACAAGCGATCCCAACACACGAGGCCCTAGCTGCAGTTTGCATTGGGGTATTTGTAGAATCTGTGGTGTCTATGTACAAACTGTCCAGGACCGAACTTCATGCTTAGTCGCCATGATTAGTCACTGTGTAAGTCGGAAGTATTTCTTTTGGCAAACGACTGCTGGTTTTGTGATGTGCTCCAGTATGAGGAAGTACCACTACCCGAATAGTATTTAATTCCTTAAGGGTATTCTTGCATTCAGCAGCCACCCAATCACGCAGGCGAGCCAATGGACTCGGAGTCTTCTCACACGAACTTGCCCTGCACTCGAGTTTGCGATTCGCACGTCCATCCCATCCCAGTGTATGGCGAATGTCCCCTTTGTTTTGCCCGTCGGCTTCTCCCTTCAACCGCACAGCGTCGTTTCTTTTTTCTAAACCTCACCCTCTCAATGGTCCGCACGCTCCATTGGAGTGCCCCGCGTCTCATTGCACAAATCTACTACTCGAATCGTAGTGAGTGGGAGCAAATGGCTTGTAGCTCCTCCTTGTGGACTCGGGAGATGGCAACTTATTTCTCGTTCATGCAAGCCGGCTCTAGATTCGAGTCAGTGACAATGCAGGCAGAGCCAATTCTGCGGATATACGAAGGAAGCGACCCTCCAAATCCTGTGGAGCATAGGGTTCTGGCACCGTTGGCATCGAGAATGACGTCGCATTTGGCCATTTCTGCACTTAATGAGGTGAACTCAAAGGCCGCAGTGGGACAGGACTTTGTTATGCGAAGGGTGAGACTCTACAGTTTACCTTTGCATCGACGTACACATGACGTAAACAATTACTCCGTCAAATATTTATGTTGAATTTGTTAGTTGTAATGTCATTTATTTTATCTTGTACGTGGTGACGTTCGGTGCGTAGACTAGTATTTCGACTTGTACTATTGTCATCTAGGCTGATTAAGAACAGCCGCGTCAATTGATTAGGACGATACATGTTTGCAATTGTTATGGGACTGGTTCGTCATCTTTTCAGTTCATACCACTTCTGGTGCGTGATTCCATCGCAATGTTATTAATCCGAGGGATCCAGCCCTCTGCGCAGTGTTTTGCCCTGCAAAGCAAGTTTCTGGCAAGTGCGGCTGATCATCTTACTCCCGCTACACCGGTGAGTTCTTTGACTGTTTATTAGCATAATACTGAGTTATGCACAAGTGCTATGTATTTCATGATTCCCTTGAGTACATAATGTCGCGCGAGACCAGCAGTCGCAAAAACTTCCCATAACTTGACTGAGCCGATATCTGCGCTTGTGAATGAATTGCTCTAAACTTCATTTGCTTGAATTTAGTTCACATTCATTGACTGAAACACGCGCACGCTTTTTTGTATGCGAGGTTATCGTGCAGCGACATAAGGACACAATACAATGTTTTAACGAACGTCTCCCCACCTTAGGTGTCTTGACAGAAGGCGCTTTTCTCCGTTTTTGTCACTTTGGCTGTGTTCATGGTAATTTCCATCCTCTAAGTCTATGACAATGTTTAATTGCTCAAAAAGACCAAATTTTGACTTATTTAGTTTGGCAATCTTTATCTTGCCGCAGTACTTCCAGTGGGTTACTTGAAGCGTTTTGTTTCTCCACAGGAACTGGTCGGCTGTTCCTCAGGCGTCAAGCGGCTGGTCTCCCAACAACTCGAGGCCCGTCTAAGTAGCCTCTATGTCTTCCTTTCCCATGTTCTTATGAAGGCCTTCCCAAGTAATCCCCCCGCAAACTCGAGTTGTCCGTCGCGCTTCTCTATGTTTCTCCTTCTCACACCCCTGATAGCGGATCTAGTCTCAACCAGCAACTTCTTTTGGACCAACGGTAAATCGGGGCTAAATAGAAACCCCGGGGATGCGCAGAGTTTCGACGATCTCGAGGTGTGCATTGGCCGCGCGATTAACGATTTCGGTTGTCTTGTCTGCACTGGTCACACGCAAACGGACTTGTCTTTAGCGCAGGCTAGTCAGCTACTAGACATAATTGGAGTTTTCCTAAGCCATTGGTCGTGGAAAACGCGGGCATTTGGAATGCATTTCATGAAAGTGGTAGCACTCTGCAACGCGACGGCATTTTGGAGACGTGAGGCTGGTGGGGAAGAACTCTGTTCCCGAATAAAGCAGAAACTGACAAGAGCACTGGCGGATCCGTGGGTTGAGGTGGCCCGTGGTGCTTGTGAGGCGGTCGCCATCCTTTTGCGGTATGGCATACTACAGGTAATTTATGCTCCTATTAGTGTTTTTCGGCACTTCGGAAAGTTATGATTTGACACAGAGCCACTTCCCGCTTAGTTATCGCCTGAGAACACACCAAAGCATTATGAGCGCTCATAAATGTCCAAAAAAGTGTGTTTCGAAACTTTATGGGTTGATGGTGAACAGAGTGGTGTGATGCAAAATTGTTATAGCTCGTGTAATAGACTTTGCAAGCGAGCACGCATCATTAGCAGCACTGGCCCTCCCCATGTCTGATATGGTCATTTGAGAATCCACTTTCAACGGTTCTTTAGTTCGAAGAGCAGTGGTGTCAAGAATTGGCGGGGCAGGCGCGTTTGCCGTTGTGTCGCAGGCCAGGACCTTTTCAGGTAAGCACTGAAAAGGATCAGATGGCCCTGAGGAGACGTCACGCAGGCGTCCTAGGCTTGTGCGCCTTTATCAACGCTAACATCCACGAAACGCCCGACTACCTACCAAAGGTGATTGCGGAGGTTGCAGGCTACGCCAACGACCCCCAACCCATCGCCAAGTCCGTCTCCGATACCCTTATGGCCTACTCCCGCACCCATCACGAACGCTGGCACGAGGAGCGACACAAATTCACCGCAGCACAGCTAGATGCGTACCTCTCTGTTGTTTCATCGGTCAGCTACTACGTGTGATGTGCTCGGAATCAGCACGCAAATGTCTTTCGTCTACCTTCGAGAACCCTAGATATGCTTGTATTAAATAGATATGCAATAAAACAATTAATAAAAGTAGTGACTGATGCCAATACTGTGGGAAATCGTTGTCAACAGACTTCGAGGCAAGTTTGCGAATACTAGTTGATAGGTGATATGTTTACACCGAGCACGAATGACGATTTGTACTTACGCACTTATTTTTTTGTCATTTCGCCTAGCATTGTCCCACATTCAGTTGGTTAAATCGGTCTATGTTTAATTTGCATCAGAACTTTTCTTTTGTCTACGAGGCGAAGCGATACTGGCGACCACTAGATATCCATCGAATTTTTATTTCCTTTGGGACACGTGACCACACAAACAAGGATGTATCTGAAGTATGACTTCTGTCAACATCACACAATGCAAGTACCAACCACGGATTACAGGAAGAGGCGCCACTCACGACACATAAGTAAATTCGCATTCTGGCTACATCCGGGTTCCACGTAGACCCTTTTCGTATGCTGATTAACAGGAGTGCAGGAGCAACTTTATCCCCTCTCAACACAGGAGGAAAAAGGCGTGAATAGGGCATCTATGGTTATTTATCAAAATGTAGTCTGAGGTACAAGTCCGCGATGAACCATGCCGTCTCGGCTTCCCACTGGGCTGCTGAGAGTCTGTGCAGAGAGGAAGGAAGGAGGGAGAACGATTAATTTACGTGGCTTTGGCGCGTGAGGGACAACAAAAGTTTAAACGCACTATTTTCCGAATCTGCTACACTAGTCAGACACGGGTTTCCTTCCAGAGGACTTGGGTGTAAACGTAAACTGTTTGAACTTATCAAAGTAATTGTAATAAATGACTGCTGACCAAATGCCATTTTCGGCAGCACACTTAACATACTTGGCTAGACGGTTGGAGAGCTTTGTGACCTGGACAACTTCAGCCGGCGTAAGACTGTTCTGCAGAGCCTGCACACTTTCTTTGTGTGACTTGATCTGCTCCTCCCTGTCGTCGCCGACCTCGCCACTCCTCTCCAATTCGACGCACTTTTCCCGGTGAGCATGGATCAAGGACTCAACACGATAGCGCTGGTCGATTACGCGGCTAAACGATAAAAGCAACTATGAGGACAGTTTTAGTCATGCACCTGCAAGAGGTAGAATGTGACGACGTGAGACTCGTATTCGAGCAGTTGTGATTAGGCATGGGAGTTCAGCCCTAATAGGATCGAGGCAACAGTTTTGACGTAAAATCGGTAGCTCTACATATTTTAACGCTTTTTTCCCAATGTAATACCACTCTATTTGTGAGGAAGGCGACGTCAAGATTGCTTCCGATAAACAGTCGGGTAGGAGGCGGGCGCAAGCCCATGTACCTGAAGTTTGAAGACGACTGTGTCGGAGGATCGTCACCTCGCAGGCGTTCGGTTTGAATATATTATTCGAATATTTCAGTAAACCTGTAGTCAAACTAAAATGACGTTTCTGGGACAGTTATAGGCAGTAAAGTTGTGTTAACGCTTGCCGCCAATCGGTTGGTCAGTTCGACTGAGGCTTACTTTTTGGCGGCCAACTCGGCGTCATAGCGGCTGCCTATGCAGAGGAGGCAGTGCTGTGCATATTCGATTGTCAGTCTCGCCACCAAGGGGAGGTTTACGTGATACAAACAGACAATTGTGTCTGCGTTAAATTCTTTCGACCGGGAGAACTCCTGTAACACGGAAATAGCATGGAATGGCAAGCGAAAGGCTCTAGTACCGGCGAGATGAACAGGTTGAGTTAAAAGTAATGAAAACAAAGAAGCTATTACAGACACACAAAAAAGAGGAGAGTTGGGAGGTTATTAAAAAGAATGTAATGAAACAGACGAAAAAAATTAGTGCGATTGTGCACTTATGCAGTACTACTTCTTTAGCTTTCGAAGTTTCAATGATATGAGGGTGGGGAGGCATTAAAAAAAATGAAAGCAGATGAACAAATAGGAAAGTGTCCCATACTGATGCAATTTACAAATGGCATAAAGTTGTGTGTAAGACTTTTCGATGATGGAAAATGCTCTGGCAACAAAGTAGCATAAGTTCTTTAAAATCGATGCCATCGGACTCTGTATCGACCAATCAACTAACACGACACGAATAATTCTGAAACGATGTGCAGGCCTAGTAGAAAAGTGAACTGGACTAGATGGAAGATTGTGATAAAGCGGGTCGTCGAAAATTCCACTTAGCGGATTAAATGATGAGGAGGGGTACAAGGCTATGAGAATTTACCTTAGTGGATATAAAGCCACTGGCAACCATTTGGGGGAGGATCTTGCGAAACTCGTGCTGTGGAATCAGTAGCCGTCTCTCCAACTAAAATAAAACAATGGCTTCACACGTGCACGAAAAGCAAACACACTGACGGCACAGCGAGCGTACAGTTTCATGCGGCAGGTAGCCTTCCGACATTAGGATACGGAAAATACGGAGGCCAGGGTTTTCGTACCTAAAATGAAGCCAAATCAACGGGAATAGAGCTGCTACCAATTTACCGACACAAGGTTAGTCATAATGGAACTTACAAAACTTGCACAATATTTTCAATATGTCGAATCAGGATGTTCTTTACAACCTTCTTGTAGGCTATTTATCAAGGGTAATTTGTCAAGGAAAAGATATTTGAACAGTGTTGTGTATTAATATTGAAAAAAAGTGATGGATTTTAGTAAAAAAAAAGGATACGGCATATGTACATTCCCCCAGCAATCCCAGGCTTTTGTTCCAAAAGAGAAAACTAAAACGGTAAGACAGAAAATGAGTGCGTGGGTAAAAGAGTCAGAGCGGTTCAAGTACGCAAACTCACAGAATCGTCAAGAAGTAGAGTCAAGTAAGAATCGAGGAATTGTGGGGGATCCTCGAAGCTCTTTATTAGCTAAAAATTAGGGGTAAAAATTAGCTCTGGCATTATAGTAGTACTTTATTGGCATAGCAAAGCAACCAATGTTCAAACAAACGGGGGAAATCTCTTGGACACGACTATAATAAGGTAGAAACGCTTTACTACACCTAAAGGTAATAAAACCTTTGTTTAAGGCTCAAACAGAGAATACGCAGGACTGGTCATCACCCCAAGAGCAGGTAACTACACAATTTAAATAACCCAAGATTTTGGTGGAAACATTACTTTCTCCAGATGAGAAAAGGGGGTCTTTTAAAGGCACTATAAAACGCGATTACTTATGGCTATCCCGATTGTTTAAAGCCACACGAAATTCAGCATCACGGAGAGGCTTCTAGCAAAGAGACGAGTGAAAGTGTGGGAGACTAACAAGGACTAACCTGGGAGTGGGAAACCGTTTCCGAAACAGGAGACATAATGTGACCACATTCTTTAGATGTTACGGCAACGCATAATATTCGAGACATGATATCTCCCGCCGTCTGTGAAGAATCAACATGTAAAAAGAGTTAACAAAATCACCACTGGCAGCGAAATAAGATGGGAAATTGGTGCATTGGCTAGTGTAGGAAAGCTTCACTGCCAAATAATTTACAGTACAGACAAATAAATGTAGCACGAATCAGTTTTTTTTGTGAGAAAATCAGCATATTTAGTTTTCAAAATATAACTTCAGTAGAGAAAAACTGTGCAAGAACAGCAAACCACCTAAAGACAAAAACAAAGAGCAGGAAAAATGCGAAGAGATTGAATAACACGACCAGCAAGCTTAGTGGGTGTTGTAATAGAAGTACCTCTTGGGCATTATAACTTTGGAATAAGGTCGTTATAGGTGAAAATATCTCCGATAGTGAACAAGACATATGAGCGGACCCGACCGTCCCAACAGCCTGGCGATTTGGTGGCCATCAACCGTGGTGAACCACCTCTACTTCGGCTCTGCTACAACACCTTCGATAATGCTGCAATCAATTTGTCACATGGCCGATGACCACGGCCACCATACCTACATATGCGTGGATATACCCATAACCGAATCTGCCATGCATGCACTGATCAATTGCCCTGTCTTAATAACTTCTCCAAAATGTACACAACACGCCTCTCGCTTCCCAAAATTCCACTAAATAGGTCCAACTTCAGTATAACTAGAAATTTATTACCAGTCTTCAGAATTAAACCACACCAACGAGTCTGCTCATTAACTGATACCTACGTGTTGAAACTCAAGGCATACATTCACAATCGTCTCTAGTTATCAGACTGCTGAAAGGAAACCTGTAATTTTAAATGAATCAAATAAATAATTGCCACTTATTAAAGTGGTCTTACTGCAATTTCTATGTCATAATGCTGACTAATTCCGGTGATTACCGAAAATCGAATTTTGCCGCATTCTAATTCTTTTACATACAATAGACAGATTAATAATTTTATTCTATACTTTAATTAACCAATGATTGCTTTGAGAATCTGCAATAAGGCATCGTTATTTTGAGATCTTGCATTCATGTAAACCGGCATGGTCACGAGTGAATATGAGTTAAATGGCAAACAATGTCAGTGAAATGGAAGCAAAATGAGCTACCGTATCAATCCTTTCTGCGGCCAATTGAGAAATTAGACGATCGCGCCAGAGTGCCTCCAAGGAGTCCGCATTAGGCGTCAAGATAAGATCCCAGTCGGATGATTTTTTAGTTGGCTACAGAACAAGCAGGAAAAATAACGGAACGATTTTGAGGTTGGGATTCACGATTTAAATAACCGGACTCTTACAGGCAGAAAACGCCGGAAGTTTTTGCGAGTCGCACCCTCAGCAACAAATTTGTGCAAATTTCCTGGAAAAAAAATTTGAGCAGTGACAAACAGTCAAATGTATTTGAATAACTAAAAAATCGTAGTAACTTTTTACACAAGATAGTCTCTCATGTCATTATACAATATTGGATGAAATATCACTAAGTTTGTGGAAGCAATCAGTTTTGAGATTGAGTCACGCCACACACGAGGAGTGCAAGGATGTCCTGTTGGCTGAGCCGGGATAAAAAGACCTTCGTTGAAGAGTCACTCCTGTTTACATAGTGATCCATCAATAAAAATCCTCAACGATCGCTTTTCGTAAAAACTTTAAGACTATGTACGAAACGGTCTAACTAACTAACGGCCACAGACAAACACATACCAAGAATCTCAATTTTTGACAAAGAAGTTCTTTCAAATTGCACGCCCTCCTCTGCCGGTTGCAAGAGCATTGATTTTGTTGAGGCTTTGATAACACCTGAATTAACGAGGGTATCCAAACACTCTACGAGGGACTCTGCAGCTTTATACTTGTCATCTAAACATAGTTAATCGTCATTAAAACATTACCTGTCGTTAAACGAAGTAAAGCAGCACGCAATACCTCGGTAGCCCTAGCCATTCCGGTTAGGAAAGAAACCAAAAGCAAATGTTCGGCAATTGAACCATAGAACAGGACACACAGCCTACAGTATATTGGAATCCTGAACACTTAAATTCAAGAAACAAGGGTACCTGGCAATCTGAGTCAGGCCCCGGTAATCTATATCATAAGTAAGTGAATCCCCATGTTTTACTTTCATTACACCATGACGCAATAGAACTGAGACATATGACGCTGTCTTTACAAGTAAATAAAAATAAACATAAACCAGGTTTTACCGTCTTGGGTGTTAGTCGTTCAGCGGCTAGACGTACCAACTCTTTCAGAGTGGCAGGACCACGAAAATGTATGCACCGCAGGACAAATACGGCATCCTCGCCAAAGTACCTAGTTAGCAATAAGTCGGCAAGCGCCACAGCACAATCAGACATGATCTGACGACAGGCTAGGACAACATTAGTGCAACATCATGCTTTTATTGGTTTTCTGTTCTCCAATCGCATTTCAATCAAAACCCATCTGAATCATGCTATTTTTCCCCTTTTAAAAGAAAGACGCTATTTTATTCTTTCTAAAAATTTTCTGAACTAATTTTTTACGGCGGACTGTATTTTTAGGCCTAGCTATCTTTTACGCTAAGAACAAATCTGATGGGCTTTACTGGAAGATGTAAATGCTGCTGCAGACAAAATGACCGCTGCATTCAAAGCCGCCTATTGTAAACTGACTTATCGATTGTGATGAATTTCATGACGGAGGGACCCCCTGAAAGTGCTGAAAATACTCTCATGACGCACTTAAAACCTATTCGAATAGTAGCTTACTTAACTTCTTTGATGTTGTAGAAGTATCACCTACTTATAGATAAACTAACTCCATTTATCAAAGTCAGGTGGTCTATAACTCTTCTCTTTCTTGCCCTTTATGTTCTCCGGATATACTATATTCAGGTAGTGTGGTTTTTTATTACAAACCTTAAGGGATTCCATATTATAAGTTATGCTCTCGCCATTTACATATTAAGCTTGTTTATTCATTCAATTTCGCCTCAAGTTGACCCAGAATTCGCGGAGTTGCTGGGTGAAATATTATTTCTTGTTAATGTTAATGTAGACGAAACGCCAACACTTCCTAGGACTGAAGCCGATGAATTTAGGCCCTTCATTCCGCGACTAGTAGAGGCGACCTTTTGGTAAATATGCTTGTAATTTTCAAAAATATGCAAACGTTTTTTTTTCTTTATGTGAGTGCGCCAATGACACAAGCTAGGTTTTTATGCTGATTGAAGTCTTGGTTGGTCTTACCTGTGTATCAACATTCAGCAGAATTACTTGTCCATCAACATTTCAGAATTAGTTAATTACGTTAATCAATTTTTGATAGACCCCTCTTCTTATTTACTGATCCGTTTGTTCGGTCGCGTTCCTCATATTTGACGTTCATTCAGTGCACCATTGGCAACAAAAGGGTATAGTATATGAGTTTATTATTTGTTAAAGAAAATGGCACCCACGGCGCTTGACGTTCTCAAATCCTTGCATTTGTTGGCGGCCATGCTTATTCAGCTGTTATCTTCTCCAACCACTCTCACCTTTTTTCATAGGCATTGCGCTACGAGGGCAATCATCATAAGTCTCGTGTGTACATTTATCCCCTTTCTCGATGTTCCTGTATTTTGGCCGATTCTCGTTGTGTATTTCCTGGTCCTGTTTACGGTCATGATGAAAAGGCAAATTAAAGTGAGTTTCCTATTCAGTGTTTTACTGTCCAAATTGTTTATCACTTTCATAGCAAAGTAGTTGTAATCGTTTTATAAGTTGGGCTATTTTTGCTGCAGGATTCTAGATGTGTCAACGTAAATGTGAAATTTATTGATTTTGACCATTTTGTTGCGACATATTGGCTACTTCGACGATGAAGTGGCTCTTGATCATGGCGTCTTTTCCGTCGAAATCGTCACGTGGCTATAAAGTTTCATTGTCAAGCTCTAATTAATTGTTTTGTGTTCATTAACAGTAATTCATGTTGGTAGCATCTCCTAATTTGTTAAGGTCTCATCAAATCGGGTCTTGTGTTAATTATGTGAGTGTCAGATATTGTTTTTTCTATACACATTGACTTCCAATACAAAACTCCCTGAACTCCCTCGGCTGAGATTTTTTCACTCCAGCTTACAATGATGATTTACAACCTCTTATATTATTTGTACTTATTATCACTAAGTAGAGCTGATGTTTGTTCTTTTTAAGCATATGATTACCCACCGATACGTTCCATTCTCCTATGGGAAACCGCGTCACTGTACCGGAAAGGTTATCGTTTCCTAGATATCTAAGACTCCTCTAAATGCCTACCTCTTTAAAACTGGTTGCATTTAACGATTTGTTTAAATCAGCTCATTTTCACTTTGTTTATCTGTATTACACTTAAAGCCTTGTAAATCTTTTTTTTGGGGGGACTGTTCTGTGCAAGTGTCGATTATAGTATGCAGTTAACTCCAACCTTCACTAACACCTTGTGTTACTGGGGTTCCAGTTGTTAGGTACCAAGGAAAGCCGTTCGAATTTTGACTTTTTTGACTATCGGGAGCGATTAAAACGCCTTTGCCGTAGACACAAGACTAATGGTGGGAATAGGCCATCGTCATTGTGCCACCTTGAGGCAGTTTCTTAAAGCCTGATGTGGTCCAATTTTGTCCCCTCAGTAATCCTAGCAGTAAGTGTATCAAAAGCATTGTGACCAATCGGAAGTTGTCTAAACTGGGCCGATTCTGGCGACGTCGCTACCACAGATCTGCTCGCCGCCAGCCCACAGTGTAGCCCTAAAGCCAGTGTAGGCGGTGTTGGCGCAAGAAGGAAATTTGTCTATTTGTTTCGCACCGTGATTCGTATTCCACCTTCTGACTGCAGCGTCTGAGCCCGTGTCAGTCTCTAACACATTTGGCTTCTACAAGTCATGAGAGTGCTAGAGGTCGGTGTTGTTGTTGATGTGAGGTGGTGGTTCGACTGCGTCCCTGCATTGTTAGTGGGGTGAACATGAAGCAATCCGAGCAAATTGGACGGCATCACTGCCTGTCCTTTTTCTCGTCTCGCGCATTGTGATCACTGCGGAAATAGGCACATTTAACGCTTAGATATGTGGGCTTGCGCTCCTATTGAGTAGCACAGACAAACATGTCAAACGGCCTTTGGGTGGATAGCACCTATTGTGGCCCTCCATGCCTAGCTGTGTACGAAGCTAATAGCCATTAGTATTTTTTGTCCAGGGGGTTTCGCATTAAGCTTTCTCGTGTGCCGTTTGCTGGCATGTCGTGCAAGTTCATCTAAGCTAGTAGCTACGGCTGAACACGTTCGTGCGTTTAGCACTTAGGCTATCGATCGAACGCACGCGCCTTCAAAACGGAGGTTCCCACGGTAGCGATGACGCGGTGAGGCCTCGTAAAAGTGATTTCTCAGATGGCCTTTTACTTTTAAAAGGGGTGTATGTCGCATTCTCCAAAAGCATGCGCTCTTTATTAACCTGGTACTTGTGGTGGTTGCTGACGCCCACCAAAAAAGTACTTCTAATCAAACCTAAAAAAAAGATCATTTAAGAGCGGTTATAAAATGTATGACGCGTCAGTTAGCGCACAGGTTTAATAACAATAATCGGTCTGAGGGGTATTCTCTCTTAATTTTGTCATATGCACCTATGCTAGTTCCTACGTTGGCTCACGCCACACTTGGTGAACTTAGTGCACAGTGGTTTTCTGACTGGCCCAGTCTAGTTTCTTTTGAAGGTCGCTAGAATAAATTGAAACATTTAGCGGACAGCCAGTGATCCGGGTAACTTGTCTGGTGTCTAGCCCTACATAGATTTGAACATGTTCCCTATTAACTTTATCCTTAACAGCTGTACACCCATGCGCACTTCCTTGAGGGAAAATAGGCATTAAAACCAAAATGACATTTATTTATTATGATTGAAATGATGAAAATTAAATGCGATGGCTAACAACGGCTGCATTTGACAACACAAATGACAGCGCCATGACATATGCAGGACTCATAAAGTGTGGCGCCCTCAGTCAGCGGGGCTCCCTTATAAACCAAATTAAATGATCCAGGACGCAGACATAAGCACTTGGAGACAGCCTCCTTCACCATCCTCACCGTCATCGTCTGAGGGAATTCAAATTCGTTCACCTGATCGCTTGGAGACTTGATGTAGACCTTGATTGGCGGCATGCCGGCACCCGGGGGCAGCCGATCGACGAGGTTCAGCATCGACCCCTCCTCGATGCCGTAGCCGCAGAGCTGCTTCTCGTCCTCCATGAGCCAGGACTCGAAGACCAATTCGGGTCCGTTGTACTTGACGGGGCAGCAACACGAGAACTGCTGTTTGACTTCGCAAACAGTATCCTGTGTAGTGACGATAAGAGGGAAGCATTCGTTGCAAGGCGTTTTCACGTAAATCTGAATTTTCGGATGGAAGGTTATTGGGAGTGTGAGATTCACGGAGCAGCAACTCGCGAGCCCGTATTCAGTTAGGCAGCGTTCGTTCTCGAGGGTCGTGCCTCCAAATGTGAGGGTTTGTTCCTCAATAGACACATTCTGGGCTTGCATGATGGCGCATTTCAAATCTTCAACCGTTCCACGTTCGTCAACATTGACACTGCAAAAATCCTTGCAATCGTAGATAACGTTGAGGAGCATTTTTTGACAAATTTATTTGCAAACTAAGTCTTAATAGATATCGTAGGAGGCCTTTGGGCTGATTGTTGTGTATTTGGTTAAGTCAAGCAGAGGTTTCCCTTTTTCACCTAGCGGTTTCTCGAACCGTCCCACCTTGGAGTTACTGCCCTTTGGAATGCCAAGCCCTAGCGACCAGTTTAAGTCAAAAAATCAATATTTATCTAGGTCACTGCATCATCCAGGCCACGTGCTCTCTAACCTCCAATAAGACGACTATATTAATTCCTTTTGGATTCTTTAAGGGCACAGATGGGCGCTGTAGAGTTCCCAACCATGCATAAGTCGTTATACATGGCTAATAAGATAGTTTAACTGTCTACTCCAATCTTTTGGCATTTCAGTCGTCAGCCCTTTCTGGGTGTTTTGCGTAAAAAAAGAGACACGTGCTAAGTCTGTCATCTTGCCGCAGCACATGCAAGTTAATTAACGATAACTGTACTGTGGAACATGTGATCGGCTTTCACTAGCTGAGTCGTCGAGATGGTGAAGATATTACTACTGGCCTTGTGACATGGACTGGTAGGCGGGTTCTGGAGAGAGGGCTTAGTTGACCACCTCTCATGCATTGCGAGTTCTGCATACAAGACAACGACACATTTGGATGATGTATTTAGTGGACACTAAATGTGGCAAATCAGCGTTCGCCGAGGCACTACTGACGAAAACACCCTGACAACCCTAAATGGAGGTGGCTCGCCATGCTCAGGCCAATCCAAACCACTAAGCACTTAAAATGTTCAACGGGCGGTAAATTCTGCCGAGTGAGTTATTTCGCATGGGGCGTGGTGAGTGCTTCCCTGAAAAGGAACGTGCTTCAATCTGCACGTGTTAAGTAGACACTAACCGCTGGCATTTGCACTGCTTGAATGAGGCCATGCGAGGTGGAGCAGAACTACCTTTAAATTTGCTCTAATCGCCTTGTAACGATACGCTAACAGTCAGGTGCTGATGCACCAGTTGGCATGCACCGCTGGTTTGCTCGCCTCACTCTGCGTCTCCAAGGTGGAGTTGTGGCACCTCGGGCAGCCCTGTATGTGCAGCGCCAGCAGCAACGCCGACATGAGGCTCAATCCCTCCCACACGATTGTGTACTCATCTTCAATGAGTCGCCGTCGTTGGGCCAATTTGATAAAGTAAAGTCACCATCACGGCGTAAGTTTAATAGTCATCCTTACCTTGGTGCTTTGTAAGCGGTGTCATCATTTCTGCTCACTAAACTAAAAAGCCTTTGGTAAAATTTGGTTTTTGGTATTGCAACCAAATTCACAATAATCTACATTGGATTCGCCCAATTTAGTTTGAGCTAGCAACATTGCATCTTCTAAAAGATATCTTCCACAGCATTTTGCTTAATTTTGGTATTTACCCTTTCCTGTCAATTGCTTAGGCCAAGTAGTGATTTACCAGAGCAGTTGCAAATTTTAATCAGTGCTGCCGCAATGTAGTGCTAATGATACTTGAACTTACTGGCTATTTTAATACTTTAATCTCTTATGCTTTATTAAACATAACTGACTTCATGTTGCTTTTGTTTCCTATATACAGTCTTCCCTGCAACTTTCCTGCCACGTTGTACAATCCCGAATATGGCAAGAAAGCAATAAAAACGCAGGGTTTTTCATTTTCATTAGTGGTTGTTGGCTGACACAATCCTCGGTATGTTGACAACTCAACAAGTAGAGTGAATTGTCATTTCATGTTTATGGAATCAGCATTAAAAGAAGGACTGATTTTAAGAAGCTGTGTTTTGAGTTTTCTCCACCCTTGTTGGATAGAAAAAAAAATTCTCTTTTAGGTAATGTCCTTGATGTCATTCCTGGCGTTGAGTAGAGATGTGAAGAGTGGATTCTGATTGTCACTTTGACTGACGACTCAGTGCCAGACCCTCCAATCACCGTCGATTCACACGAATGTGAGTAAAGCATTTTAGGCGCCCACGCACAAGCACCGTTACCCTCAGATAGCTGACATGTTTAACCCCCTCGATTTGTGCATAGTTAATTCAGCCTCTCCTGGTGTACCAATCAGGATCGCTGACGCAACAACCTGCCTGTGCTGCAAATGCGGGTAAGCAGACGCTCTTTGTGGTAGTTCTTTTGTTGATGCTTGTCAAACTCTCTCAGGCCGACAGGCAGCGCCAGTCGGTAGTTGTGCCCGACAACGCGACTGTTGCTGCCCTCAAGCGGGCCGTTGCGCGTCAGCAGAACATCCCCATCTCCGAACAAACGCTCACCTTCAACGGCCTTGTCCTTGAAGATAAAAAATTTCTCTCCGACTATGGAATTTCTGACGGCTGCTCTGTTCAACTTTACCTCCGCCTGGGTTTCAAGCCTACCTTCAGATTAACCGTCTCACTCCCGTCGAAAAGCGAAATAACTCTAGATGTGTCTGGTGACGAGTCTGTTGGTGAAATTAAAAAGCGCCTTGGAAAGAAAACTGGACTAGGAGTGAATGCCGCGGAACTCATCTACGATCATTGGGTACTCGAAAACGACCGAAAGCTGATAGACTATGGCATCGTAAGGGACTCTTCCATTTTATTGGCACACGAGTTAACTACTGAATCAAGCCTAAATATTCGAACTTCGAAACATTCTAAACGCCAAATTTCTGGGTCCACTGATTCCTCTAAGAAGCCTCATCGGAATCGGCAGTCAAGCTCAAGCAGTGACGACGATGACTCCGAGGAGAGTGGAAGGAATGACTTGATAACTGTCATTTTCTTGCCTAAAAGTGATCCCCCAATCGCTCTAAGAGTCCACCCCCAAACTGAAATCGGAGCGGTGCGTGAAAAACTTGCCCAGATGCTTTCAGTTCCCGCGAGCTGGCTGTGGTTCGTGCGAGAAGGGAAACCCTTGGATTTATCAAAATCATTTGCTCACTATGGAATCATGAACGGTGAATCGGTTTGCCTTCTATCAGAAGGCAACGGCGAAAGTAAGAAACGTCAGTGGCATCCTTCGAAAGATGATGCTGATGATTCAAAGATTCGGATTATTGTCCAATCGAAAAATGGCCAGACTTTTGCCTGTCGCGTTCGAAAAACCACGAGGATAGACGCCCTCAGACGTCAATTAGAAAGAGCGATCGGTGCGCCTCGAAGTAGAACAGAACTATTTCATGAGCAAAAACGTCTTGACAACAATGCCATGGTGAAAGATTACGGTCTTGCTAATGGATCTTTTGTTTATTTACGGTACTAATGTCGAAGTAATCGATAATTACATTTGTCCAAATTGTTCCCTATTGAAATTGTGCCGTCACACTGGGCTTTATTCTTTCAATTCAGGCAGTTTACTTTAACAGCACAAATTACGGATTACTTCCTCAGACAGCCAAATATTTTTCGAGACGTTTATTGGAATCTGTGGGGAAAAAGACGAAGATTGGGATTTTTCATTGTTTTATGAAACTAGCTACCTTGTTCATTTTCATTA